TTAAAAATTCAATTTATACCATTTGAACAAAGCATTATTTGCCTAATTAATTTAAGTTTGGAATTATTTTAAATCTCCGTATACAATTTTTAAGAATATTGTTCTGCTGATTCTTTTAAAATTCCTAAGAATTTGGAACAAATTTTGTTATATTTACTTTTAAAATTATTTTTATTATAGTATTTTACAATTTTTCAAAAAGAATTACATTTATCAACACTTCAAAGTGACTTCCAAAGAAGCGATATTTATTCAATTTTTTCAAAACTCCTGATAACTTTTTTTACTGACGTTGTTATGAGTTAAAACATTTTACTTTTGGGATATTATGTTAAATGTTTATTTTTGTTAATATTAGTTTATATAATACTACAATATCGCTTCCAAATAACTTTTAAAAGAAGAAAAGTTACTTTTTGAGAATGACTTCAGAAGTAGTGAATTTGGAATCTAATAAAAAGGACTGCCCTCCTATGACAAGCCAGTGTCCATCCGTCTGTAATCAAATTACAGATCGCAATTTTGAAGATAATTCAATGAAATTTAAAACATGATCTTTTGTACGAAGCCTATTAAAAATTATTAAAATCGGTCCATTATTTCACCTAGCCCCCCATACAACTGAATCACCCTGAATAAATTGTCGGCCACGCTGACTATAATTTCTCACTTGTTTTAGAAGCAAGAAGATACGAATTCGTATTGCTTAGAAGATACTTCTAAGCAATACTCCTAGAAGATTATTGGGTAATTCCAAAATAAATCGACCAAAAAACGCTGTTTTAAATTTTTGCCTCTTGACTTTTTTCAAATCAGGGGTATATATTCAATAATAACTCATTCGGTTCATATTTTATGGGACTCTGAAGTCCTTGCGCCGGGAATTTATGTAATTTTAATGAAATGTCAAAAACGAGTAATCGAAGGCCTGTCGAACGAAACATCATTTATTAAAATCGGATAACTGGTTTCAAAGTTATTCAGCCATCAACATTTCTAATTTTGAACAAAAATACCCGAGATGCCGTACTTTAGAGGCCCATAAAATATGAACCAATTTATACGCCATAGAAACCGCAATTAAGAGTAGAATGCATTATAACTAAATCGAAAGGAATGAAAATTTGAATTGGTCGAAATGTCTGTGGAATTACCCTATTATAATAAAATAATAATAATGAAAAAATTTTACATTTTTATTTTTAATAAATATTTTGAAGTATGGAGTATTTCTATAACAACTTCCGTATGATAATCTTGAGATACAATACATTTTTTGTTTATTGCTGAATTTTCTTTTAAATACATATTTGATATTAAACAAAATGATTTTCATCCAAATGAAAAAACGAAGTTATTGCTTTCATATCTTCTATGGACGCTATCTTCCAAATATTTGTAGGTTATTTGAATATACATACATATATACATATGTATGCATGTACATATGTAGTGACATTTGTGTAGTCGGGCATGGCCGACCATATGATACCCTACAACAGTGATTATGTTACATTTAATTTAATTTTTATCTTAATTCAGGAATATTTTAACAATTTGTTGACAAAAAAGGGTTCTTCTAAAAGAGAGGTTCTATGGGGACAGGGTGTTAATATGGCCCTATTCTTATAAATTTTGGTAAAGGGAATTACGTCTACATCAGTTATTTATGCAGAATATCATAATGAGATAAGTGTTTATAAGTGAATTTTGACCATCAAGCCATTTTCTGAAGAGGACTTTGTATGGGGGATAGGGTCAAATGAGGTAGTATCATTAAGACTTATATAAAACAGAGTTTTGCCGATTTTTGAAGTGATACAAGAACATTTAACATATTTATGAGCTCAGAAGCCCTATTCGGGGGTATGTGCCAAATTTGATCAAATTATCTTGAAAATTGCTACCTGCAGAGTGCGCACAAGATTTACATGGACAAACAGACGGACATACATACATATGTACGTTCAAAGTCGTATTGTGTGAATTAGTAGTTATTTAAAGAAATAGAGTTTATTAAAGATTTAAAAAAATCCATTTTACGAATAAAAAAATGTTGAGAAGTCGCACTCTTTTCATTTAAAGGAGCCTGTAGCATTTTTTTTAACATTGGGTCAAGGACGTCTGTATGTATAAAAGAGAATATGTAAATAAATGTAGAAATATATGTAAATATACAAAAATAAATGTGTGTACATAAAGGTTTAACAATAATTTTTAATTCGAGGCTAAAAATGTACATACGTAGGTATATAAATACATACATATGTACATATGTATGCATTTTGTTCTAAATACAAAATTAATTAATAATTTGTTCACAACAAACATTTTATTATTAATAACATTGAAAAATATAACTGGTTTTCTTAATACTATAAAAAAGTGAAATATTGACACATTTTTAATGCTTAAGAAGGAAAGAGAAACAAAATAACTGACTGACTGTCTGATGAATTCAATAAAAGAAATAGCATGACAGTCTCTCTAATTATGAATGTTGTTTTTGTTGAGTTTCTTTAATGTTATTTAAACAATTCGAATCTATTGCAACTAGCACCCAAGAAAAGCAAACAACTGATGAAACCACTAACCAACCAACCAACCAACTAACAACTTGCAGTTCCTCTACAAAGTAACGTTATTTCGTAACCATACTAATAACATTTATTTCAAGGAATTCCTTATATGCAATATATGGATTGTCTTTCTATGTTGTCATTCAGTTGGACTAAAGCAGTGCTTCACAATCTTCTTTATACGATACGTTTAAAAATCTTTCGCGCCATTCAGTACAAAAATATGCATATATGTATGTATGTACAAAGTTGGACATTTTGGTCATACAGGGTTTTATTCAAATGAGTGGAACTTTTCACCTATTGGTCCTAGAAAAACTTGTCCAAAGGAGTTCAGATAGCTATTTCTTCATTATTTCCAAAAAAAATTCAATATTTTTTTTGAAAATATTTTTTTATATATTTTTTTTTTTTTTCAAAATGGCCCTTTTTATTTTTTTTGCTTAAAAGAAAGCTTATACACTTTCCTTTTTTTATATATTTTTTTTTTTTTCAAAATGGCCCTTTTTATTTTTTTTGCTTAAAAGAAAGCTTATACACTTTCCTTAAAGGGCTTTATAGTCCTAAATTGGAATGCGAGTGTTATATCCATTAAAAAAAAAAATATTTTTTTAACCCAAGAATAATTTTTTTTTAATATTTGGCACTTAATTTTCCCCTATTTTTTCAAAATGGACGTTTTTGTTGTATTTGCCTTTAAGAGCTTTGTGATTACTTTGTGGGATGCGAGTGGGATATACATATGTATGTTAAAAAATAATTTTTTTTTATAGTAATCGCATCCCATTATGGGACTATAAAGCCCTTTAAGGAAATTGTATAAAAAATATTTTTTTTTAATTAAAAAATATTGGTGCAAATTTCATCCAAATCGGAAGACATCGATTTTTAAAGTTGGGTCACTTGACACGAAATTCCCCATATATCGTTGTACACAAATACATATTTTTCAATTATTCCAAAAAATACATATAGTAAAACATATATTTTCCCTTGCATCCGTTATCACTGTTCAGTTTTATTTTAAAAGTGTGTCATTTGTGTCGAACTTCCCTTGTTAGTTTTCAGAACGATAAATGTTATAGAATGCGCAATACAGAACAAGCATGAATTTCAAATCTTTAAATATATTCAGTGCCATTGTTCCCACATTAAGAGATTTTTTGGGAAGTGTATATTATCCAAATACATATTGATTTTTTCATACGTTATATATACATAAGTATATACTTATGTAGTTATCATATCCAAATATAACACTATAATGCGCGCTTTGACAATGTTTTCTGAGTATATCTAACAATTAAAGGCCAAAAATATTCTACATTTAATAATAGTAGTTTAAGAATAACCATTTTTCAATCTTTTTATACATCGGGGGACTATATTCAAAACTCTATCATAAACAATTTTGATCATTGCTAATTTATAAGCAATTTTTCCTACGAAATATACAAATAAATTATTGAGATTTAATATCAATTATAGTATTCTTTAATTTAGCGGCTAATGCGAAATCAAAATGATAAAAATAAATAAGAATATAAATTTCAAAAAAAATCGAATTTAATATGAACCCAAATCTTAGATATACAAAAGTGATTATAGTCCCTCGATATGTATCTTTACAATTTGAAGGTAGCTTATATACATACATATACATATGTATATACAAAATGTTTCCCGTTTTTGTGATATCACAACTTTTTAGAAGGTTTTTGTATCAGTGGTCACAATGCTGTAATCAGTTTTTCAAAATTCCAACTCATTCATCTGTATTGTACGTACATATATCCATTTCACATAAAGTATAAAAATTACACAAAAATAAATTAAATTTATAAATAAGTGGAAAAGCATATATACAGCCACTATCTATTATCCTTCTTCCAAATTTAGCACATTTACGAAATTATGAGGGAAAAGAATTTAAAAGCGTAATGCAATTGCATAGGTGATTGCTAAACGTGTTTTGTTGTAGCAGATTTTCTTGTCGTTAAGTAACACATTTTTATTCTTGAGTGCTCATTTGTCTGTCCTTTTTGTCTGTATGGCAGCCTACCAATTTTATAGAAACGAGAAGCATGGTCAAGCCTTCTTGTGTGAATAAAAACCTGCCACTTTAAGCAACTGGAACACAACAAGTGTTCTACATAGTAAATTATTTTACCCGTCTTGTCTTACGATTATACACACAAATTTATTGATGTTTGCAAAAACTTTTTACAATACCCAGCACACATTTAAATGTATTAAATTTGTGTGCTTTCATTCCTAAAAGAAAATTTGTTAATTATAAGGAGTAACATTGTGACTATTAATTTTATAGATTCATTTAGATTCGCCGCATACATTAGTTCGTAGAAAAATATTAAATATTGACTAATTCTTAATGTACTTTGCTTTTGTTTGTCTTTATAGCGAATGCTTTTTAATGATGCTTTTGCCTTCGGGGCGATCACATAGCGATGTACATCCAGTAAATAACACAAAAAAGCCTCAATTTTCGACAAGAACATCATCACCACAATTGAACATAAATTCTGGCAACAAAACAGAAAATGGCGGCTACGCATTACCAGAGTCAGTTTCAACACCAACAACAATGGCTACTACAGCTTCCGAACAGTATAAAAACTCATATTCTGCTCCTAATTCAGCACTATCAACACCACCTTCGAACCATCAATCATATACAATTCAAATGGCCAACAATGGTACAGGAAACGTGCTACTGTCAAATTCCCCCGGAAGTCAAAGTGAAACCGGAACTGCAACAGCAGGACGTTATACAAACGGTCCCAAAGTTACATTCTTGGCCAATGGCAATATTAGCTCAAGCACAGGTGCCTTGACTACGATGACCTCGGCCTCTCCCGGAAATTGGGAAGATATTGATCGACAATTAGAAGCTGTACAAACAAAACTTAAAGAAGGTTGGAGTGCCCATTTGGGCAAGGAAGGTCGTCTCTATTACTGCAAGTATGTTAAAAAATATAAGAATATTTTTAATTTAAATAACGATAATTTGGACATTTTTTCAAAATTGTGCACAGGTTTGAATCGATACTAATTAGGATAGAACTGTCTGAAATAAAAACTACTACTTTTATTATGAAACATTTAGAATGTCAAACAATCGATTGAAATTAATCATGTTTATACATTATTTCCAAATGAAAAAGTTCAATTATTATAAATACCATTTAATTAGCCAAATTATTCAGAAACCGAATTAAAATTATTGTAATACATATGTACATTAGACCGACTCACAAAAAATGGTGCTTGAGTTACCCCCCTCAAAATATTCGCTGTTATGTAATATGATGTTTCCCAAAATATTTTGGTTTCATTGTTGTCCGTTCGTGACCTGGACAGTTTTCAAGAAAATATCCTATGTGGGAAACGATTTTTCATGTTCAATTCAATATTTTACCCATCTTCAAATAATTTTTGTTTTGTTTTATGATGGTTCCCAAAATATTTCTAGTTTATCGGTGGCCGTTCGCCAGCTGGACCGGTTACAAAAAAGTCCCTTTTTAGTTATTTTTTTATATTTTACAGTTTTTTCTTAAACAAAATATACAATACGTGGTAACATTTGAAAGATTTTGAGAAGCCATGTCTAGTAGCGTGTAAAATTTTCAAAATTGTGCATTCATTTTAATTATATTATTGAAAAACCTAAAAATTAAAAATTTTTTTAATATGACAATTATGAGCATATGATAATGATAAATACATCATTGGACGCAGCTTTCAAACGATATCCATATTCGATATATTGTTTCAAAACATAACCAAAATTTAAAAAAAATAATTCAAAAATACCTTTTTTAAAATTTGTCCAGCTCACGAATGGTCATCGCTAGATTTAAAATGTTTTTGGAATTATCATAAAACAAATCAAGTTAAATTTTGAGAGGGGTAACAAAATTACGTTTTTGACCGAGTGAGTCGGTCTAATGTACATACATATCGTCATATGAAATCCAAAAAGTTACATTGAACAAATTTTTCAGGAGAAGTAAAAAACCGTCTAAAATGATAAATAAACCAAAAATGTTCAACATTTTCTCAAGTTATGCTTATTTCTTATTGACAAATTATTACTTGAAGAAAAATTTGCGGTTTTTGTTTTACTTACGGAGATATGAAACTTACGCCCTTGAGAAGTTTTTTTCTGAAACCCAAAAGGGCGTAAGTTACATTAAAAAATAGTAAGTTTTCACATTTTCAACTAAATTCAAATCACTTTTTGTTGGTCAAATAGGCCGAAACATGGAAGCTATAAGGTTTTCTTTGTTTTCATAAAGATTTTCGGAAATTGGAATTTTTCTTTGAAAAAATCTAAAACTGTTAAAATAATCTCTAAATTACAAGGATTCGCTAAAAGTGCCATTTTTATTTTATTTGATGCCAACTTATAACATTTCACAGTTTCGAAGTTAAAAATTCAAAAGAATTTTAAAATTTTCATGAATTTTTAGGTAATTTTAGAACATAACCTTTTAGAATTTCTTTGATACGGACGTTGATTTTAATTGTAGGAGTGTAAAATTTAACAGGAACATGTATTTTGATCAATCAAAAAGTTGATTTTAATTTTTTTGTAACTTAGGTCTTTTTGGATTTCATATGACGATATGTACATATTTATGTATGATGTGCACGGAGAATAAAAGTACATAGAAAAGGTCGAAATTTAATTAATTATCAACACTATCACCCCAACATGACTATTCATCATATTAGATGTTCATTATTAATGGTTTTTACTTTTTCATTTCATTAGGGGAGTAGTTTTAATACAGAGCAAAAGTAGACTTATCAGTTTCGATATTGTATGTGTTATGTTTAGATATGTATTTTGTTTTTTATTCTATTTATAAAAACCTTAACATAAATTTAAATAGCAATTTACAATATAATACCAAATTTTCTAATATCTAATATAATAAAATCTTTAGTTTTAAATCATTATTGAGTAAAACTGATATTAAATAAACAAAAAAATTAAATAGTTTTTATTTTACTTTTTACAATAAAATACTTATAATGGTGACATGTTTAGGTACATACATATGTATTTGATATCACAAATTATGAAACACACCATTATTTGGAGATCGTCAACTAATATGCATAAAAGAAAAATGCGGACTAGCCTAATGTAGTGCAAGTACATCAATTTACCTTTGTAATTACAGAGGTCTGTGTTTTAGCCAATGTATTCTTTCATTCATTTGTCAGTTATTCAATCAGAACAAAGAGCTGTTAATGAGTTCATTATTAAATGTTTATTTCTCTGTATGATCAAATTAATTCCATGATAATTAGCAATTACATACCTTGAACAAATTATGTACATACATATGCATACTTATATGCATATGTGCATATACATACATATATAAATAGTTAATTAACATTTATTGCATTATGCAAAAAATACATACATATGTATTTGAACAATTAGTTGACTCAGTGAGAACACATGTTGGATGAATTTGTTTAAAAAATAGTAAAAGTAATCTTTCGATAAGTCTTTAGAGAATAAAATACAAATTCCGAAATTATCACAGGATAATATATATTAAACTTTTTTGTTGGTGGTTTCATTTAGTCATACAACTCAAACATCAGGATGGTTGCCATCCTGTGAGGACTGGAGTAAACAGGAGGAGTTGCCATATGGCTGGGAAAGAGCCATAGATTCGAAAGGACGTTCTTATTTCATCAAGTAAGTATCACGGAAAAATCAATTTGCTGTTTTTGAAGAAATTAAGTTCATTTGAATAATCCGGGTATTTTTATTTGTAGCCATCTAAATAAAACTTCAACATATGAAGCGCCCGAATGCGTAAAGTGGGACGAAAACCCTCCAGAACCTAGGGTCGTGGTCTTACAGCGTAGTTCTACCATGGGATTTGGCTTTGTTGCCGGCAGTGAGCGACCTGTAATCGTTCGATTTGTTACAGAAGATGGACCGAGTATGAATAAACTTCAGCCGGGAGATCAGATTTTAGCTGTAAATGGTGAAGATGTAAAGGATGCTCCAAGAGATCGTGTAATACAGTTGGTGAGAGCTTGTGAGACTCAAGTAACTTTATTAGTATGTCAACCTGCACATAATGTAATACCGGGACGTAAATCAACCTTGTTGTCGGCGGGAAAACGTGCAAAACTAAAAACTCGACCAAGCCGAGTACGTTTCGCAGAAAGTGTTTGCGTTAATGGAGCTCCATTATTTCCAGTATGTCATTCTTGCCATATTTAAGTATGTTTAGTTGTTAATGTATATCTTTATATATATCATTGCTTAATACAGCCCTCCGCCTTTTCTCTGGGAGATATATGTGTTCCACCTATGGCGAATGTTTTAAAGGTATTTTTGGAAAATGGTCAAACCAAATCTTTTAAATATGATGCAACTACTACTGTACAGGTAACTAATATACAAACAACCTATATATACTACTTATATAAATAAAATAATTGTAATTATCTAATGTCATATTCAGGATGTGGTTTCCTCTTTATTGGACAAGTTATGTTTTGTATCTGGTGAAATATTTAGTCTTGTGTTGGAACATGTTAAAAGCCTCAAACGCAATAAGCTGACATTACTGGATCCTGAAGAATCGTTAGCAAAAGTTAGTATTTTAATATATACAGAAAGTCAAGTACAACGAATTTTCATAGGAATATGTCTCATTAGCGAGTAAACTGCAAACCCTTATCAAACACTTACATATGTAGATCTGGAAGTACAAAATATTAGACACTACTAAAATTGCATTTGGTTTATTGAAGAAAAAAAACTAAAATAACATTTTTTTTTCGAAAATTTTGATTTTTTTTTTCGAACAGTTTCTAAATAATTTTTTTGAATTGTTTAAAATAAGATTTTTGCTTTTAATTTTGTCAAAAAATCCGAACGTCATCCATAAATGGTTTCCATCTCTGTTTGAAGCGGTTAACTTTGGCGAGTCTTGTATATAAAATATAATATAACAAGAAGAACTGTGACTCTATTCGTACTTTAACGTAGTCAATGCAAAAATTTTGCAATTGGTATTATTGAAAATTCGTAATAAATAGTATTCGTACTTCTAGACGTCTACTGTACATATTTTAAATATACAAATGTATGTATTTATTTTATTTCCAATAGATTGCTTCTCGTCCTGGAGCTCATAAATTACGTTGCTTATTTCGCGTCACTTTCGTACCTATTTCTGCAGCGGAATTGGCTCAAAAGGATCTGAATTCTTTGGATTATTTGTATCTACAATGCTGCAATGATGTGACTCAAGAACGTTTCGCTCCCGAGCTCCAACCTGATGTTGCTTTGCGATTAGCCGCTTTACATATGCATCAACATGCTTTGGCAAATAATGTGTCGGCGTCAAAGCTAACGGTGAAGGTAGTTGAGTAAGTTCAATGCTAAAAAACGCCCTCAAGTACAATACACATATGTACATTGGAATGGCATCAAAATGGAAGTTGCTGATGTTACTTACCGCCAAAAATAAAAATTTAGTTTATTCTGAGATATCATTTCTCAAATATTTTGTCCTGACGTCAATATTTGCTGAATCAAACGATTAAAAGTCCTTATTTGAGGTTTATATGATTTTTTTTATATTTCTTATATGGATTACAAAAGAAAAAAATAATTTTTCATACAAATTTCCGCTTTTTAATTTTAAAGTATAAACCTTAAAATAGGACATGTTTATCCTTTGACCAAATTTTCACCCAAGGTCAAAAAATTAGAGAAATGGTATCTTAGAATGAACCAAGCTTTTATTTTCGGTGGGAACATCTGTATTTTTATACATACAAACAGAGCCACCCTAATGTGCATACTATTGCATGTATGAAAAGTAATATTGTATTTTTATTCCAGGCGTGAATTCGGTTTGGAACGTTTCGTGCCTGGCTCACTTTTTGAAGGTATGAAACGCAAAGAATTAAGACGATTAATTTCACACTTTCTAAAAATGAATGCCGAGATGACAGGCTCATCAACTAAAATTTTAACACAGCTCCAGGTGATTAATATATATTATAATGTGAACTTGATCTTAAGTTATTTTTGGAAATGTTTTCAAATAAATTGCAGGCCAAATTGCACTACTTAGACATTATTGCAAGCTTACCTAGTTACGGAGCTAAGTGTTTTAGCACGAACCAAAGAGAGGGTGTTGAGAGGGTACTTTTAGTAAGCCCAAGATTTGGCTTAAGTCAAATATCGAGTGCCAGAAATTCAGTGGTATGTATTTTCTATTTGAGTACATTCTTTTGAATATAAGTCAACAACTCTTAATTTTTTTAAGCCCCAACCAATATCTGCTATAGAAGATTTTAGCCACATCATTGTTCAGAGGGAAGATGACATCACATGTAGTGTCACTATTTATATGCAAGGGGATCGCTCCGTAAAATTTTTAATGGAGGATCGAGATGCCTGTGAGTTTTCCTTGTGCTTAGCTGGCTACTATAGGTTATTGACGGGTGAGTGAACGATTTCCAGAGTAACGCTTGTCAATCAAAACTATGCATTAAATTGCAGGCAAAATTCTCCCAGTCTCACGAGAACGAGAGACAATTGATGAAGACAATGCCCCATCCTACCTTGCTCAACACACAGTGCTACCAGCGATTTGGAGTTATTTATTACCGTTTCACAATAGAGCTCATAGCATAAATTTCCTTATGCCACCGCCATACCACCCCAGAAAATTAAAAACACAGCACAGTGGCGAAGCAAGTCATCTACTGGAGCAACCCGAGAGTATGAAAAACAAAACACTAATTATATCAGACTGTTCTCATCTACATTCAAATTTGCCTTTGCTCTCTTCAACAGCCATGGACTTAGATATTCATAGTGTCATGGCAACTGAACTTTTAGAGGAAGCCAAAGATTCCGGAATGAGTGATAGCAGCGGTGGTGGTAGCAATTGTGGAGATCGTGCTAATAACAACTTAAGCAACAACGCTAAAATGGAAGCCAAAAATGAGGAAGTATTTAGGCGGGTGCAGGAAATGCAGAAAATGGTTGAAAACTCTGAACAGTATTTAAATGAGCAGGGAGAACTAGTACAGAACTTTAGATTGACAAATACTAATTCATCTTATAGTTCAGCTGTGATGTCCTGGCAAAGCCCAACGAGTGCTTTAAGTTCCTCGAATGTAAACTCGAGTGGTGTCATTGAATTTGATAGTGATTGCGATAGTCTCAACAGCAGTAAATTATCTTCGAATGAAGAAACTCCACAGCAGGGTTCATTGAAACACAGTGACTCATTGGTTCTATTGGCGGAAACAATAAATCATGATTTAAGTGGTATAACGCAAGGTTTAAATTCCATTGGTGAGCATACAATTGATGTAAGACGAAAAAAACCTACACTCGTAGATACATCAAGTCCCAGACCTGAACGAAAAGTAAACGGTTTCAGCCAGTTGTTAAGTAACCTGCAAGCGTTAGGTACAGACTTTTCACAGAGTGAAAGTGATTCCGAATCCATAGCATCGCCCACAAATTCACCCACAGCTCGAAGGCCTTCATTACTGAATACAAATGACAAATCTTCTCGAAAACAAAATCTAGCATACCGCTCAAGTTTCGGGCTCCACAGTCCAGACAGTAGTAATTTCGGTATGGAAACTAAAGACTATAATCTCAAAGAATATCTAAAACAACTAAAGGAGATAAGTAATGTAGATGATTTTAATCAGGACACAGACGTCGCCGCAAAAAAATTATCAGAAATCTATGGTTTTGAAATACGTGAAGATACTTTCATTGAGACCGACACCGATTTAATAGACTTACGTGCCATACCACCCCCACAAACGCCAGACGAATTAGATGCTCTTTCTTTACTTAATGCGCCACCAAAAGGATTTGGTGATTTTACAAAGAAAACATTTAACGATGTAAGACAAGAGCATGATTTAGACACATTTTTGGAAAAAGTGGTTGTGGCTCCGCCTACACAGAAGGCAACCCCCGCAAAAGAATTAACACCGGAGGAGATAATGTCATTTATAATACCTCCGCCTCCCAATCTAGATGAGGTTGATATCATTACCCAAAAAGAGGAGTTAGAGTTTACCGAGAGCTTATACAGCAATTCATCTGCAACTAACAGAAATGCTAAGCCACCATTGGCGCCAAAACCTAATGAAGATTTAAAGAAAATTGAAAATAAGGGTCACATTATTGAATATGCCACCGTAGAAAGAAAAAGTAAATTTTCCTGCTGTCCCAAATCGAAAAAAGAAGAAACCACCGATACATGTGCAGAAATTTTAGAAACTCTTAAACCACCCCCTAGATCACAATCCTCAGAACAAACAGTGCCTGTAAGACCACCAAAGAGTGCCGAACTAATGCAGCGTTATTCACCAAAAAAACTTAACCAAAATACTTCATCCTTGCCGCAAAGAAATGGTTTGCAGACAGATGTTTCCGAAAGTAATCCACCTGTGCTGCCACCGCGCACATCATTCAGTACTAGTCCACGCGCAGTTTCTGAGGAGGAACGCCAAAATATTAAGTCTACGGTGAGTCCCTCAGCCCCAAAGAAACCTCCACTACCTCCAATAACTGCGAGACCAATGTTAAGAAAAAGTCCTTTACCTATGAACTATCCCGGAGCAATTGATATCTCTTCGCCTCCACCTACGCAACCACGAGTATTTCCAACCAATAGCACGGCTGTACATAGCCCAACATTAACACCACCATCACAACCTTCGCCTTCACTACCCATGCAACAACAGCTCAATCAGCATTCCGTTGCAAGTAATCGCCGAGATCAACGATATCCTTTACCTCCTTATCCATTATTATCTTCTCCCCAAATGCAAAGGAAAATCCACAACACGAGCCCAATAAGCCATATAAGTCTAAATTCACCGAGAGGTTTCAGTAACAACAGCAATAAATTTATCATCAAAAATGGTCATATTATAGACCCAGAAGCTCTGTTGGTAAAAACCGATGTGGCAATGGCTGGATTACTAGTCAAACTAGATCAAGTTGCTGCACAATGTACTGCAGCGCAATCTGCAGGCGGTGGATCTAGCATTGATGAAGATAAATTTCAAAAGGCTCGCAACGAATTAACCGAACAAACATTAGTATTAGTAACTGCCTCGAAATATTTAGTCGTTGCCATGTCTGACATGACACTGTCGTCATTGCCGGAGCATCTGACTTCATGTCTTACTGCCATAAGGCGCATAACAGAATTGGCGCAAGATATGACACGACATACGTCGTCTCCTCTTCAAACACGTAATATCGTGCTAAAAGTCCATGATGTTGCCTCATCGTTTCGCGAATTGGTTGGAGTTCAAATGGGACCCCTAGGGGCTGGTCAGTTGGCTTTACAAGCTGAATGTTTAGCCAATGTTTTGGCTACACTATTACGAAGTTTAAGAGTGTTTTCTCCTTAAAATAACTAACCAAATACTATTATCACATTCTACGATCATATTTCTTTTATCTCATTTTCCCATACATATCATTATTTTGTATATTTATTGTTAAATTATCTAAACATATCCTAAAAGGTTTATAAGTTTTATTTATTATAAATATTGTATATGTACGTATGTATGTATGAATGTATCTAAGTAAAAGCATATGTACATATACAAATGTATAATAAAACATGTATGTATAACAATTCGATTCTATTATAATTTTTCTTTTGTTCCGTTACAGGTTAGGAAATAATTTCCTCAATAACATTTTATAACACCATTATATTACACAGATATTCTAGATATCTATAAGAATATAAAACTTACTCTAACATTCAACTATTTACCATATAATACAAAAAAAAAACAATGAAATCTTCTCTAATCACACATACTTACTACATACATTCATTAATTTATTAGACAATTTTTAGGAGATTACATATTATAAACATAGTATATACATACATATGACATATGTACAATATATAGTACTACATACAATACAAACACATTATTAGCCATATCTATCTAACTTTAGTTTTGTCCACTTAGATCTACTGAGATTTAAATATGATATCAAATATAATATTAAAATATCAAAGATCGTTTAAACCAAATTAAAATCAAATTTAAGGAATCTCAAAATTTTACCACCTGTTTCCATATTTTAAGCGAATGAAAATTTTACAAATGCATATTTGCTTTTTGTTACAATAACAAACACATGTTGAATTTTCACTCAAAATTTTCGCTTGAAATATTGATACTAGAAGTTTATTTAATAAAAAATACCTACATACATAATAAAATAATACCACTTTGTTTTTATCATCATCGTTTATTCATAAATCCATACAACGCCACATTGATTTGATGATATTGAATATCAGATACATAAATAAGTTCATTTCCACCAAAATGTATATTTTTTGTCACTTCACGTCACGCACTTTAATTGAGAATATCTTAGGACAATTCCTTCTGATTGGTCGCCTCTTTATACTATGCATAGAGCTATTAAAACTCTACAAAACAATATAAACAATTTAAAAATATAAATATTTTTTCCCTCGATATATGTAGGTTGTTAATGGTGCGTGACGTTGTGTGACAAAAGTTGACTTTTCGGTGGAAATGCCCATAAGTATATTCATGATCTCGATTATTTGACGCTTTATTATGAATATTCAGCAAAGTTTATTACATTGATTATTTTTAAATGGATTAAATTGGAATGATGGCAACAGTTTTATAATTCTGGACCCAGAATTATATTTTAACCATCCTGTTTTGGATAATAAATTTTCGAGATTTTCTAAATATGACATTTTAAAGTCACTAAAACTAGGACATATTTTTCATTTTGAAATTCGTACATATCGTTATAGGAGAAGCAAAAAATGTAATAACGTAATCAATTTTTAAAATTAGTAATCGCGTTTTTCTTTGATTTCTTGTTTTTCAATACCAGTTATAAAACTTTTTTAAAATAATGCCGTTGGTGACTTATGACGTTTTACTGCTTTATTGGAGAGACGCAGGTAATATGATCTGTCAAAATTTGGTGTAGAAGAGTACGGATGGGATCGTCTAAACGCAAATGTAATGAAACCATTCGAATTGAAATGCAGAATAGGGGTGATTCTCTTTTTTGTCATACGGATGGAATTTAATTTTACTTTTTCATTAGACTTTACGTACGTAAAGTGTGATCGTCTAAAGGGCCTTTAATCTAACGATATGTACATATGTATAAACAAATACTTGAGATCGTGAATCCCCTGTTGTATTAAAAATAAAATTTATAAAAATAATTTTAATGTATTTAACTAATATTTAATGATTAATTCATTAAACGGTAATTACATAAACCGATTTGAAAAGAAAAACAAAAAATATACAATATATGTATTTGACCAAACTATAATCAAAATTTTAACTTGTGTGTGATAATAAGTCAAGTTTATTAATATTATATTGAAAATTATTTCCTACGTTGTTTCTTTTTTTATTATCGCTGGGTAACATCTCGTAAAATTAAATGGGATGTACATATACATTTTTTATTTTCTCGCTTTTGGGTGCTATTTTTTGAAAAACATTAAAATTAGTGGTTGGAATTTTTAATAAATTTATCAGATTTTTTTATGGCATATAATTCATGGACATTTATCGAATACGATTCATTTATAGTCAAAGTTCCCAGCAACAGCACAAAAAATATAGGTAACGGGTTTAATATTACATATTGTATGTAGGAGAAGAAATAAGTTAATGATGTTCCCACCAAAAATGGAAATTTAGTTCATTATAATATACCGTTTCTCAAAATTTTTGTCCAGGAATCAATATTTAGTGAGTTGGATCAATGGATAAAAATATTATTTTCGATTTTTTTAATATATTGCACAAAGGAATGTTATTCAATATTGATATATTGATAAAGGTCTCTTTGAGGAGCTTTCCATGGCATATCAGAAATGTGCTGATATGCCATTTTAAAATTTTCAAAAATTTTACGTATTCTCAATTTTACATTAAATAAAACTAAACATAAAATTGAAAAAATATAATTTTTTTAAAAGAAAAATAAATTTAAATAATTTGTAATAAAAATAGCCCAAAACATAATATAAAAGTGTGGAATCCTGCTTGCGGGTGCAATTCCAGAAACATTTAATGGCATTTTTTTTAGTTTTAATTTGTATATTTCCAAGTTTTTCTTTTCTAATTTTTCTTTCAATGACTATTCAAGGCAGAAAATTGAGACTCCCTAGTAATTATATTTCATGTTTTATTATGAGTTAAACTGAAATATTTGTACTATAAGCCATAAGTACATAGCCTACACAAGATTAGGGTAAAAATGGGCTTTGAAAAATTAAAACAAAATACGAAGTAGATGAAATTTGAAAAACAGAAAAAAACATGTGAAATTAAATAAGATTTAAAATCATAAAAATATCAAAAATATTTTTTTTTTATCTTTTAATCCAGCTCACCAAATATTAAGATAAAAAATTTTATCTTAATATAAACTTAATTTTAATTTTCGGCGGGTACACTGGAGGCCTGCATGATTGGCTCAAACACATATTAGTAATCCACTGCTATGCACTCAACACGGTTTTCAAATCAAGTAAATTAATAATTTGTTTAGGTTAAAAAAGTAGACTTTCTCTGGAGTAAATGGAGGACACTTTTTAAAATTAGTTCCTATAGCCGGAATTCGCTAAAATTTGGTCTTGTCTTAAGTATAACTGATGACAATATTAAATTATGTTCGAATATTCGAAGCAAAAAGTTATGTTCAAAAAATTTTAAAACCATTCCCGAGTCAGAAAATTTGTCAGTTAAATTTTAAAGCTTTTATAATCTCAAAATCATAGGGATTCACAAAAATTTGAGTCCAATTTCGAATAAAAAATCGATTATTTTAATATATTAAATAAGTCGCACATGCAGGTCTCTTAATATACTATGTATACATTCTTCCACACCTAAGCAGATTTAACCAAACACACATGTTATAAATTATTACATTTTAGACTTTTTTTAATATTTCTATTATAACTTGTTAATTTGTTTTAATTAATTTGTATATACATACACACATGCTTACATATCGCTCATATGCATTACTCTAAAAACATAGTTCGGGTAAAATCTTTTTGAAAGACAGAGGTTAATTTCCATATATACATACATACATATGTGTTGGTTTATTTGGGTCTCATTTTATTCATTAATAGAGTCTAAAAATAACAGGTGTAAAATTTTACCCAAATCGGATAACGGGAACCCGTGCGGAAATCGATTGAAAAGTGTAAAATTGGGTAAATAATAGGATTTTTTTTTTGTTAATTTTTTTTCTTAACATTTCAACAAAATCGTATCTTCTAGAGAAGATTATCTTTCCAACAAGGTATAAAATGTTAACAATTTTCTTTTTTTTTACAAATATGTAGCGAAGACGACTAAATTAATGCATATTTTATTCGTTTTTTTGTGTAGATATTTTTGCAAAAATATCACTTCTGCATGCAAAACAAAGACCAACAATTCAAAAAGTGCATTTTTTGAATATGCAGCTTGGGAAATCTTCAATAAAATAGTTGTTTGTACTTTGATATAAATGTTTTATAACTCTTTGGATAGATAATTTTCTCTAATTATCTTCTAGAGATGTACATATATACATATGTATGTATGTTTCCTATTTAAATTTAAAATAAATTTATTCTTGTCAAATTTTACATGAAATCATAAGTTTTAGATAGCAATAAAAAAATACATAATCATGTCTGTAAATCGATTCGCTTTCAAAACCGAGAAGCTTTTAAAACCGAATTTGGTGTTCTGCAAATAGAATTTTTATTTGAACGTAAAATTCAGGAAAATAAACATATTTAAATGAAAAAGAGTTTAAAATGCCCACAACATTTATATTTAGTTACAATTGTATTAAAAAACGCAAAAAATAATTACTTAATTTATTAGAATAAAATTAAATTCGATTTACTTTCGACAAGATTTGTGTATTCGGTTTTAAAACGAGAACAATTATGAGAACTCGTTTTTAAACGAGAAATTTACTCGGATTCGGTTTACAGAACAGACAGGAATATCATCGAAATTTGAGTTATGTCAGTCATGTAGAGGACAGGATGGACTTGAGTGCACCCTGATAGAGGATGATCAAATGTATATGTTATACAGAAAATCATTCTCCCACTGAAGGTAATTGATATTAAATCTATATGAGTTTTTAACACGTCGGATATTTTAGCTAAAGAGACTTTTTAATTATAAATGAGCGATATGTACGTATTACATTATTATTAATTATTTTTACTACCAGATTTAAATTTACAGCATTGCCTTTTTAAATTTTGTGATGTCACTACAATATTATAACACACGAAACTTTTTTTAATGTTAACACAATGCACTAAAGCATTACAATATAGGATGAACAAATTTATAATATTAGGGTTTTAGATTGAGACTTTTTTCTAAAACAGCTGCATACATTTGGAACTAAATGGTTCAGAAAACTTGTCATATTATTTTTCTTCGACGGAGAAACTTTTATATTTCAAATATTTGTCCAATTCACAACCGATGTAGTATCGTTGTACGTCATAAAAATTTTTCAAATAAAAATTTTGGAAACAATAACAAAACAATTTTAAAAAAAATACGACATACTACGATACAGCCATACAATACCGATTGTGAATTGGACAATTGTGATGGGACAATTTTGTACCAGTCGTATATTACAATAACAAAATATAAGTTCGAATAATTATGTTTGAGTGTATTGTTTTAATTTTAAAGAAATTAGCATTGTATTTCGCATCAGTTCAGAAATAAAAAGTACATGCATATACATACATATATGTATGTATGTATGTGTGTATAGCCACTTTTAAAATATTTACGAGTTGATTTAAATCTGGACCCTTTTATTTGATCACATTAATTAAGTAAAAATATTTAAGTAAATATATTATTATAATTATACATATTAGAAATAATAATATTATTAACGGTTTACGCTTTATGAATTTAAAAAATATTAATAAAAAGTTATTTTAAAATCCAATTATTAAAGAAAAATTTAACAATAAAAAATTATACATAATTTAAAAAAAGCTGTGTTTTATTTCATATTTATTATGAAAGTAATAACCCGTGATTATGAATACATTGTTATTAGTTGGTTATGACTTTGATTTAATTTTTTGAAAAATGTTAAATTTTACATAACCTAGCCAAAAAGGCCATAAACTAAGACACACATCTTACATTTTCACTGCGGTCAAAATGGTTCCCGCAACAAGTTGTTTCATATTTTTTATAAATTTGTCCGACAGATGGCGTCGAAGATTTAATTTTCAATCAATTATACATACATAAACCACGAAACCGATTCTTTTAAAACATCAGTGTAGAGTCCACATATCCAATCAAGGGCCAGCAACGCGGACCGGGCGCCACTAGTCAATATATAAAAATTATGTACTCATGTTTTTTTCCATAACTTTGATCATATCATATCAGAGTTAATAACACTGCTAATTCGAGTACTCTGAATGGAGTTTTGCTAATCGTTTTTCAGGTTAGCTCTTATTTTCGAGATAAACCATTATTCGCGTAACTCAAAAACGGTTTTGTCTATCGAATAAAATTATAAAATCGAATTTCCGCTAAAAAAGGTTAAATTCAACCCGAAACGCTCATTTACCACAATGGTATAATAACTTGAAAATTGTACTAAATATGTATCTATGCATATGAAAATAATTAATCTAATTATTTTTCGATTATTTTTTTGTTATCTTCATCAATTTAAAATAATCCCCGATTATTTTTAGCTTTCTTATAACCATAATCAATTATGATTCGTGAAAAGTTTAAAATAATCATAATTCAATCAATTATTTTACATATTTAATAAAAAATAATCATATTACATACTAATGATTACTAATTATAACTTAACTGTTATGCTTTAAAAAATCCACCGACATTGTTGAGTTGGAAAATAAAACAAATAAATAATTTTTTATTTTTATTTTTCAATTAAACTTTTAAACATAAATGTACATAAAAGGTTTTGTATGAATCGTGTAGGTTGTTTTTGTGTAATTTTAACATCTCAATAAATAAATGTTTTGTGTATGTATTTATCTAAAACATATGTAGCTGGAGCATAAAAACAAATTACTCGTTGGATAAAAAATAAAAAAGTTCACTCATAATATTACGATGTTATTTACTGACGAACTAAATGTTTGTTTTTAAATTTATTTATTTAATTGAAATACACCGAGGCGTAAGTTAATAGGGGAAAAGAAGTAAATAATAAAAAAGCAATTTCTAAATATTTTACAAATACGCTACAAACAAATCAAAAATATATAGGTATGTACTTTAATAGTGAATCTTATATTAAATGGAAAATAATGATTTAGAGGGATTTCTAAATGGTAATGAATATTTCTAAAAATTTTAAACATAAAAACTAAATAAAAAGTGAATGAATTCTGTGAATCGGTATTAATAAAAAATATATGTATGCATGTATGTATATGTTTTGGATACAGTCGCAGGAGTAGATAAATGTCTCAAAAAAGTTACTCCTTAAAAATCCCTCTCGCTTTGGCAGTAATTTTTCGAACGCGACCTCTACTGCTGACACTAACTAACTGATCGTCATCGCTGTCCATTGTACTTGCCTCTTGTTCATCTTGGTTAAGTGCTGAACTACCAACAACAGAAATCGATTCATTGCGCAGTTTTCTACCTCGGCTATTCGCAGCGGTGGAGTTTTCATCATCATCACTTAGTTCATTGTAGCGTGGACGTTTCTGATTCCGAGAACCTCTTTGATTACGCCGACTGCTAATTCGACCTCCTACTCCGCCAGAATCACGTTTACGACCTCCATGACGTCCTTTATTGTAGTCATCCTCTTCATCAGCGACGAAAGAGTCATCTGAAAGTCGACGTTTGTTTCCAGGTCTCCTACCACGTTTCGCTTTAGGTACATACGAAGTTAATGGCTGATTGTCATCTGAATCAGAGGCATCATCTGTGGCAGAGGAGTCAGTGGAACCACCTGTACCCATATCCGAAACACCTTCCTCGTTGTCATCGTCGTCGTCCTCAATATTGCCTTCGGGTCCATTCTCGTCTGCTGAGGCTTCTGTTTGAGAATTTTCTTGACTAAAACGCGACCGACCTCTTCTGACGGGTACTGTAGCTTGAAGCGTGATATCCCTTTGAAACGATGACGCAGGGCCAACCGTTGTAGATGAAGGTAGGCCACGTCTCAGACGTGTTTGGGCAGACGATAACATACCACTTTCCGCACCCTGAAGACTTCTATCTGATTCATCGAAATTGTGCGGATGTCTTTTTGAGTTTCTGTTAGCTGCAGAGGAGGTCGAGGGCCCTGGATCCCCTATATAATTGTGATCATGAACAGTCGGCGGTGCCGCAGAAGAGGAGGTAGCTATATTCGATGTTGTTGATGTGGCATGAGAACGTGTCATATGTAGTAATGATGAACTACTGCCACTTAATTTTCCATTTTGTGATGATTCGTTTCGCTGTAGGTGCGTTGGATGAGGTAATGATGTTTTGCCAATATCTTCAATGAATATATATAAACAATTACATCATAATTAGTAACTGATCAAAACAGTAATTACAAATATTTGAACATATCAATGTAACTCGCTTCAAACTTACTCTGTGGATGTCTATGTTGAGATCCTTGACTTGAAGCGAGAGGTTCATCGTCGCTATCATTGTCATTATCGGAGTCATTTTGTGTCTCCACAACTGTATTGCGATTGGTTCGCAATTGCCTAACGACACTCATTGAGGCAACAGCGGTGCGACTGGATGAGGGGCCGTTAGCAGTTCCATTGGATTTAGTGGGAGTAGGCGTTGGCAAAATCTAAATGTTATAAACAATTTATTTAGACAAATACTATAAAAAATATTTTGTATGAATGGTTTTTGTAAACAATATATTATTTACAATATCGACCGCGATTACATATTTTTCGCTTTGGTGAAAGACTAATGAAATTTTCATAAGCGTCCCAGCAAAAAATAATTGATGTCATACTTTACAAACGAGATTTATAAACCAAACATATACTTACAAATTAAAACACAGTTAAAAATGAGAAAAGAGATGTAGAAAAGTCACTACAAACAACATATTCGAAGTACTTCAAATTTTGATGAAAAACCAATGAAATTTGCATAAGCGTTTCATTGAAAGAATGTAGTTTATTTTTGACATACAAATATCGGATTTTTACAGCTTCTAAAGATAAGATTAGATGTAGTTCAAAGTTGTCAAAAATGAACAACATCCCTCCAATGACATGCTAATGTAAAATTCATAGGTTTTTCACCTGAATTTGAAGCACTTCGGGTTACTAGTTCCCCAGCAAAAAATAATTGATGTCATACTTTACAAACGACATCTTAATCACATCTAAAAATGCGATTGCATACTTTTCGCTTTTATAAACCAAACATATACTTACAAATTAAAACACAGTTAAAAATGAGAAAAGAGTTGTAGAAAAGTCACTACAAACAACATATTCGAAGTACTTCAAATTTTGATGAAAAACCAATGAAATTTACATAAGCGTTTCATTGAAAGAATGTGGTTTATTTTTGACATACAAATATCGGATTTTTACAGCTTCTAAAGATAAGATTAGATGTAGTTCAAAGTTGTCAAAAATGAACAACATCCCTCCAACGACACGCTAATGTACTTCGGGTTACTAGTTGTGATGAAAATTCTACATCTTTTTCCAAACTTTTTTTGCTGGGTCCCAGCAAAAAATAATTGATGTCATACTTTACAAACGACATCTTAATCACATCTAAAAATGCGATTGCATACTTTTCGCTTTTATAAACCAAACATATACATACAAATTAAAACACAGTTAAAAATGAGAAGAGATGTAAAAAAGTCATTTTGATGAAAAACCAATGAAATTTACATAAGCGTTTCATTAAAAGAATGTGGTTTATTTTTGACATACAAATATCGGATTTTTACAGCTTCTAAAGATAAGATTAGATGTAGTTCAAAGCTGTCAAAAATGAACAACATCCCTCCAATGACACACTAATGTAAAATTCATAGGTTTTTCACCTGAATTTGAAGCACTTCGGGTTACTAGTTGTGATGAAAATTCTACATCTTTTTCCACACTTTTTTTGCTGGGTAACATTAACGTGTTTGCCATTAAAATAAGGGCTTATAACCTATGAACCTTCGTTGATTCTCATGAGAATTTTCATTGGTGCAATATATTTATTTTAAAGTGGATTATTGAAGCTATTATGAATTAATTTTTAATATTTAAATTATTTTTTAATATTGTTAAACATTATATATGATTACAAAATAACAGAGATGGGGGTAGTGCACTAATTTTTAACTATCACTAATTATTAGTGGTAGTTCAAAATTATTCACTACTTTTATTTATGTTTAGTGATGAATTGAAAAATATAAGCCTCATTCAATAATAGCTTTGTTCCAGAACTTTTCTGGCTAAAGAGAATTAATGAATTTTCTCTTCGTACTTATAAAAAGTACGGGAACAGAAAAAACTAAATTTCTCTTTCAATAAATTTGTATTGAAGTTTATTCATATAAATTTCTATTGAAATTAAAATAAAATTGAAAAACTACAATCACACATACTTATTTATGAAAATAAATTAAAAATATCAAACATTTTTTGTTTTCAATGTATTTTTTTAAACAAATAATTTATTTGACAATTTTTTTTCTATTTGCCAGGAAAAAATTTTCTGGCTAAAACCTGCAAGTTCTGGCAAAGAGAAAATAATTTTAATTGCTCAAATTTGTTCTCTTTTACAATTTCTGGTAAAAACCTGCAAACTTGACAAGTAAAGGAACAAAGCTAATAGTGATAGTGATATTTAAAATTTTTAACTAAAAATATTTTAAAAATAGTTAAAATATTTGTTTTTACAGCCTAGTGAAATAATTTTTTCTACACTAAATTATTAGTTCAAAAAATATTCCTGCACTATTTTTTTTTTTTTTTTAACAGAGAAATATTTCACTCATTTGAAAGTTTAAGTTAATAGGACAGTCTAGAAACGGTTTAAGTCAACCAAAAACTCATTGGACGAATATTATTAATAAGTAAAACGTTCATTATTTACAAAGGTTCCAAGCTATTGCCTAAAAAACATCCAGTAACCACATCATTTTGGCAACTGGCAACGCAGATGACGTGGCAATCGAGGTACAAAATTAACCAATTAATTTAATTTTCCGAGGAGAGTTCACCATTCCGCTAAAGAAAACATCGTTATACTTTAGCAGAAGAAGGCAAAATTTTGGAATTTAGGTGTTTCAACCATTTCTTTTTAAAGCATGAGATGTTGTTGTGGTAACTGCATATGTAGGGTCTATCATAGTGCCATCGCTAACAAAATCTGTATTTTCCATTTTAATAAATGTATCTTTTAAAAAATTGAATCATTATAAATAGTGCAAAGAAAATTATTGAAGCCTTTTGTTAGTGACTGTTCAAATTTTTAACTATTTGAGTGTAGTGCTTTTTTCTACACTATCACTCAATTGAGTTATAGTTAAAAAAATAAAATTATCACTAAAAAATATTAGTGCTAAAAATATAAGCTTCACTACCACTAAGCTCCAGAAAATTAGTGAAAAATATATTTTTTGAAATAATATTTAGTGATAGTTAAATATTGATTTAACTAATAATTTAGTGCACTACCCCCATCTCTGCAAAATAAAACATAATTTATTTCGAATTATATTAAAGTTCAATCAGAGTAAAAAACCCAATATATTTAGAAATACGTTAAGCAGTCAGTCAACTTGGCTTTTATGCAAGATGTTAAAATGTTCTATTAAATAAAAAATCTGATTAATTATGTTATTTTTAATATTAATTTGTATAAAGTTTACGTTTCCTTTAAATCCTAAGAGAATACCAAATTACAGTGAAATGTTACAATTCCTATAGTAGAGTTACATGAGTGAATTATGTTCAATTTTTCATGCCTTCACTTACACTGCGTATCACTTAAATAAATGAATAAACCCTTTATAACATATAACATACTACAGGCAACAAACCGGTTATCTCCTTCAAATTTCAATATTATCTCCAAAAAAATGGACAAGAGAAAGCTTTTAAAACTTCCGAAAAAGAGAAAGAATAATTTTTTTAATAGCAGGAATAACTAAGAAGTGAACAGCCAATTGTATACAGCTACTTTAGGAAGATTTTAAGCTATAGTAAAAATATGAAAGGATGTACAAGAACAGTGATTTCGTGAACAAGCTGTATAGATTTTATATTGTCCTCCATATTATCCGGGATTTATATGATAGAAAATGGTTAGTGGAGGCTTGATAGAAAAGTATACGACAAAGGAAAGCAAATTTATTCAAAACCGGAATAAGATTGGAATGAGCTTAAAATCACTAGATTATATTGGATAGCTTTACCGCTCAATTTTTCGTTATTTTTAAGAGCATATTTTTATATATAAAATATAGCTGTTAAATTTTTATGGCATCATAACATTAAGCGATTTAGATTTCAAGATTCCGCCTAGTTTCTTTGAAATATAAAAATTCCTTATTCAATTAATAGTAAAAATATGGTCTTTAAAATTCTATAATTTTGTAATTCTTCAATGTTTAGTTTACAAGATATTTCCATTCAAAATTAATAAAATAATAATTCACACTGTACGAAAAATTTATTAGAATTTATTTAAAACGCATTAAAACCCCCTTATCTTGAACTTCAAAATTTTTTTTGCTGTACTGAAAATAATCTATGCTTAACTTTACGAAAAAAAATTTCGTAACTACTTTTTTCGTAATATATACGAAAATTTTGTGTATAATACGAAATATTGTTTAATCAACCCCTTTTCTAATTTTACGAAAGTACGAAAACCTGTCGTACACTGAAAATAATCCATGCCTAATATACACGAAAAAATTTGTACATTGTACGAAATGCTTCGTGGTTTCGTACTACGAAATTCTTTCGTAATATATACGAAATTGTACGAAATATTTTAGTAAAAAGATATTACGACAGGTTTTCGTACTTTCGTAAAATTAGAAAAGGGGTTGATTAAACAATATTTCGTATTATACACGAAATTTTCGTATATATTACGAAAAAAGTAGTTACGAAATTTTTTTTCGTAAAGTTAAGCATGAATTATTTTCAGTGTAATATCTTTTTTCGTATATATTAAGAAACTTTGTTTTCTTTTACAAAAATAATTTCATTAAGTCATGTAATATTTAAAGAAAGTAACGAATTTTTTTCGTAACAAAAATATTTAGTAATATACAAGAATTATTTTTGATTTTACAAAAAAAAATTATTTTGTTACGAATTTTTTTTTTTTTTTGTTATTTTCGTAATTTTAAGCGAGTTAAATTAACGTAATTTTAAATTTACAGGAAATTGCTGCCTAATTTCCTGTAAAATTTTTTATGTTTTTTTTTAAAATATAAAAAATTTGATTTTTTTCGTGGTGCGAAACCACGAAGCATTGCGTACAATGTACGCCATTTTTCGTGTATATTAGGCATGGATTATATTCAGTGTGGAATCGGGTCAAATCGGAAAGTGATTTGGAGACGATAGGAACATCCTTAGATAGGTGTGGATCCAATATTTTTGTTCGTTACAAACAATATTTACAAAGCATAATACCTTCCGCACTATAGTAGTGTAGGGCAAAATACCATGAATATACCAAAAACCATGAGTTTTCAAGATTTAGGTGAAGATATCTCGAAGAATATAGAAGATATGTCAAATGTTAAGCCTTTATTTTAGATGGTATAGCATACAGCATTTTCTAAATAAATTTGTCTTTTTACTGTTATAACGTCTTAAAAAGGGCGAAAATGGCATCACTTCGCCTAGCTGTTGTTGAATTGGTATTTTATAAAACACTTCATTATGACAGATTTTTAAGTTCATAAATAGTCGAATACTAGTAAACAAACAATAATATGTTCACATTGTTATTATTGTCGACTGAAGTCAATGCAAAAACAATAAATTTGCGTATGGTCAGAAAACGTGAATGATTGATTCTGTGTTCTCTGTTTGATATAATCAATGGGTTTTCAAAAAAAGAACACAATTATCTTATATTTTTTAATAACTAATTGAAAGTTAAAATAAACACAATGGTTATAAAAACACTTACTTCTTCGGCTTCTTCAGTTCCCTCGCCGTCTTCTATGTCACTGCCACGAGCCCACTCCATAATGGCTCGCTTAACACTAGCTCTAGTGGGTCTGGCTGCAACTTCCCTTGAATCTGTATCAGATTCAATAATGCGACCATTGCGCACCGGTAGGTGATAACTGTGGTCGTTTTCAGTTGCACGTCTTCCAACTCCAACACCAATTGGGTTATTAGTTTGGGAAACTATTTGGTTTCTAGTATTTCGCGAAGGACTTTGCAGCATTAAGGCAGTACTTGTTGTTGGACCATCATCATTGCGTGGCGTTTTCGGTGGTCTTCCTTTTTTCTTAGGTGTATTTGAAAGAGTATCCTGTGTGCTTTCATCAATTTGAGAAACAACGCCACCACCTCTACGTGCGCCATTTTTGGGTTTTCGACCTTTTCGGCCAGACTTTTTATGTTTCTTATGTCTACCGACGTCAAAGTCTTCATCTGTGTCGTCTTCGATATTACGTCTCCTACGTTTGGATCCTCCTGAGTGATTGCTTTTACGTCCAGACTTATGGTGATGTCTTTTACGTCCTCTCTGCTTTCGATCTTTCTCTGGGCTGTAACTCTCTTCGGAATTTTCACTGGCACTGTTGTCACTAATTGAGTCTGCACTTGAAGTATCATCATCCTCATCCGAGTCAGTACTTGAACCTGTGACTTCTGCATCATCTTCGGCACTATCATCGCCATCCAACTCTTGACTTGGATTTTTGCGCCTGGATGCGCGTGATGTTCCCGGCTGCGGATCATCCAACACATTTGCTCGTCTATGGGATGATGAAGAAGTGACACGATTCGAACTGGAAGTGCTTGCGGTTGCTGCGCCATTCCCATTACGAGCTTGGCCAATGCGTCCCCTTCGCTGACTTCCACGTGGTTGCTCATTGTCTTCGTCGTCATCATCATCCTCTTCATCGTTATGTGAAGACTCTTCAGAACTACGTATTCGCCTTGTATTTCTTACCAAATTGCTCCTGCGTCCTGTGGAACGTGTACGTTCAGAAGGCGTTCGTTTATTAGGACTGCTACTAGATCCACGAGATTTATTCTTATTAGCCCGTCTTCTAGCCGACTTCCAATTGCTAATAACCGTCTTTATTTGCGACTCGAATAGAGCACTTAATCGTAAAGTCATAGAATATATCTAAAAACAGACAAACGAAGAATAAATTTTCCATAAAACAATACTTTCTACTCGAACATCGAGTATTACACATTAAAACATGTATTAAATAATATATGTATACATTAAAATATGCATGTTCTGTATAGCTTAACCTTACCGCCAAATATTCCTACAATAATGATCGTCATTCATTATTATATTTTATAGAATTTGTTCATGGGTAGTTGTGGGTGATGATTAGATAAGATTTTATTTTAGATTTCATGAGTGTATTTGGGAAGCATGTCAAAAGAATAAAGTGAAGCACAACAATAATGATGTGAGTATGATTTTAATGAACAGATAAAAACTATTTTTTAATAAAACTATTAAACTAATCAAACGATAGAAAAAATATCTTAGAAGATCCAATTTCAATTATTATTCTTTCAAAATACCTGATCATGAATAATAACGACTTTGAAATGAATTGACGATCTACATTTACAACTTAAAACAAAAAACACATACATAATAAAATTCATAAATAAAATATACATACTAATGAGAACTTCAATCTACTTACTCGTGAGCGTTTATTGGTGTTATAATTTTTAGAATTTTGAAAAATCAAACGAACATCTTTTGCAAAATCTAATGGGTCTTCGTAATTTCCACCTAATAGATCTTCTTTAACCGTCCGAAGGTCCATAGGAGTTGCAATAATTTCTAGATAATCCGGAAATTCTATTGTATCCACTGGTTCACGGAATGGTAATGAGTCTGGCCGTGACCACATTAATTCCAACAACTGCCGACATTCGAGACGCCAATCGCTTTCGGAACGGTTTCTATTAGATCTATGTACATTAAATTAACGAATAAAATATTGTTTATTGCAACATTTACTTTATAAAACATTTACCTTCTTGTCGAGGTCATGCTTTGTCTGGCTCTTGCTGCTGCAGCTGATGTTGATGGTCCTGTACTTGTCGAGGGAACAACATCCGATTCATTATCATTTTCCGATTCGGATGAATGATAAACATCCACTAGTTGATGATAAACTGCAGCCACATCAATATCATTTTGTTCTCTAAATAAAAGAACAACACCAACATTAAAAAAGATTCAAGGTTTAAGCGAAGTGAACAAACCTTATAATACGTAAACACAGATCTGTTATTATACGAGCATGTTTTACAATATTCGTGTGTCTTCTATTGTATTTTTCGGCATTTGTAGCTAAATAACGTACATCGAATTGGGCGGAGGTGATTCGGCGGTAGAAATGGTTTTCGAATCTTGATTTGATTGTTGTTAAATCAATGGGATATTCAATTAAATACGCATAGTCCGGATAAATATTCAAATCTACAGGTGCTAAGAAATGTTCAGCTATTGACAAACGCATAACCTTTAAAAGGATAAAAGAAAGAATATTGAAATTGTAAAAACATTCAGCTGAAATGTGAAACCAGAACATACTTTTAGTAAGTTTTTTTCTAATATTAGTCCTTTCGACTAATATCCTTTTAAAACTTATCTTATCGTTAGCTTAGTGCGCAAACGTAACAAGTCCACGTTATATAGAAATTAAGATTTTAATGCAGAATGGTAGTATAACTTGAAAATTACCTTATTTTTACTTTAAACTTTTGTTGTGATATACAAACGTGCTAAGTCCTCAAAACAATAAAATTATACAAAGAAAAAGTGCTAAGTCCTTTCAATTTGCTATTATAAAGGCATTAATTAGTCATGTAAAATGAAATATGAAACATTTTGTACATCAATGTCTAGGAAATAGTTGTAGTTTGAACCATCTTCGATTAAGTAAGAAATCATGGAATTTAATGGAATTTTATATAAAATAAAACAAGTAAATTTTGACAATAAAACTGTTTTTATTTAAGAGCGATGATATAAGTAGAGAATAGCGTAAGTTATGGACCGAATCTCATAGTAATTAGTAAAGAAATTTTGATTCCTTTAAAACTTGTTGAAGTTGAATTGCATCGCTATACAGCTATTTTAAACCAGTTGTGCGATTTAAAATTGATGGGGAACAATTATATCCTCATAAAATGTCGTAAATAGTTTTTGAGTCCCATCAATCTTGTTTATATCGAATTTCATCACTATTCTGCTATTTTAAAAACAGATATAATCGTTAGAGTAATTTTTTCAACGGTACTTTATATGGGAGCTATGGTCAAATATGCACTGATACTCATAAAAATTAGTGTACCGATTTAAGTTCATTAAAGTTTTGTCCATATCGAATTTCGAAGCTTTACTGACATGTTTAATGCATTTATGAGCGTTAAAATAATTTTCTGAAGGGGATCTTATACGGGGCTAAGATCAAATAAAGACCGATGTACGTCATTCTTTACTATATAATTTTTGAATACAAAAAAATAACTTGGTCCAAATTTTATCACGATTACTAGCTACTCTCATCATATTTATTTCTGTTTAATCACTTTTCCGAGGAGCCACTTGTATGGGGAGAAATCGTGGATCTACACTTACTAAATTTTTTACGGCAAAACGTTTTTGTCAAATTATATCTGTACGTAAGGAAAAAGTTATAAGAAAATGTGCTAAGTCCAGCAAAAAATAAAAATTCAGAAAAAGAAATCGTACTAAGTCCTAAAAAACCGCCATAAGTATTCAACATTATTTTGAAATTGTTTCACAACTGATATTAAAAAAAGAGAAATCTGAGAAGAAAACTGCGTTTGCAGATTTTAAAAATATGAAATAAAGGAAAATTTGTGAAGTTTTTTGCTTCTCCTATAAAATTTACAAAAGAGAACTTGTTACGATTGCATACTAAGCTAACGATATATTGAAACTAAAAACTCAGACTCTTGGAATAGATAATACTAATATACATATTTTTAGAATTACGTTTTTATTTTTTAAACTACAAGAACGCAATTTTAATCATTTAGTCTCAAAAATAAATTTTGGTTAATTTGTTGTCAAAACGACTAACATTGGTTATGCAGCGTTAAAAGGCACTGATAAAAAACGAAATCGACTCATATTTTCAAAAATTAATTGACATGCATAACCATATATGAAGTGAATGTGAAAATAGTCCGTAAATCGGATTTAGAAATCTACAATATATGTATGTATATTTTTTGTATTTTTTTTTTGGAAAGAACCTTCCATTTCCAGTAGATTAAACTCAAGATATGTTAATTTGAAAATAAAAATCATATCCGGGTATGTATGTGGTAGGGTACTACGGTAAAACCTCGTAGTGAACTTACCTGTTCGAATCCATTAATTATTCGACGACATGAACCATCTCGGTCACCACGGTGCCATTCCTCAGATTTTGGTTGGTACAACGTGGCACGAATCTCTTCTTGTAAAACGGGTACAGCACCTCCAACTTCGTCTGGCAAGCGATTTTCGTCTATGGGTTCCATGTCCCATGGACTCATATATTCATACTCACCGTTATCCCAACGGACACGAAAACACATAAATGGGGAGTCGGGAAATTCTGCGGATAAAGCATGTCGGGATTCGATCTGCCCCATCCACCAACCGTCACCAATCATACAACGGAAACGGTCTCCAATTGACCAGTTTCGTTGAACTGCTAAATCATATGTTTGCCTGAGAACCAAAAAATCTAACACATCCGGCATGTCGTGGTATTTGATTTTAAAAGTAGTACCCGTCATATTACCATCCTCATCGATGATCGCTAACTTAAGACAACACAACCTTGGAGGCCGAATTTCATATTTTATACCTATGACACGTACGAGCTCACGATCCCTTAAAGTGCGAAAATTCCACGGTTCGGAACTGTGTGACACTTTGTATACTTTTTTCAAACGAACGGCTTCAATGTATCGATGGTGGCCCTGTCTAAAGTACACTACTTCGTCACCCATTTGTGGATAGTATGGAGCCTTCCGTGGGATAACTTCCGAAAGCCATTCGGCTGGACGATAAACTTCTGGAATTTCACCATTTGGTGCAGTTGGTGGTATCAGAATTTTTTTGGCCTTTCTTCCAGATTTAGCAGACGTTGTAGGATGTTCCGTTGTATCGTCACTGCTGTCATCACTGACAGTACGTCGACGAGACAAAGGCTTTCGTTTGGAACGCTTAGGGGGTTCCAAATTTGGTCCTGGTGTATCAGCAACCCAATCAGAGTAATCGGATGAGTCGGTATCCGAGTCGTCGGAAGATTCTTCAAGATTTTCTTCTACATTTGAGTAACTAGTGTCTCCAGAAGAATTGCTACTTTCTTCATCCTCTTCTAATACGTCTGGTGCTGGCGGCTCTTCAATTTCTTCTTGATCACGTACTGCTCGAGTGCGGTATGCCGGTTGCTGCTGTTGTTGACCGGCTGGACGCCCACCGCGTCTTCTCCCCACACGACCTGTACCATTTGCACGAATATTTCTATTCCTCCCCGATCCAGATTGAGATGTTACAATGCTGGCAGTACTTATCATAATTGGACGTCGTCGCATTTCACGTCTATAGTCTTGCATTTCATATTGTCCTGCTGTGTAAACCGATGTTTTGAGAGTTTGCAGCTGAGAATACTTCATAGGTCGAACATAAATACGGCGCACGTATTTCAGTTGACTTGCCGGGGATGATTGATCCTGTTCTGCAGGTTGTCTTCCCCATGTTGTACCTTGGCGAGCCTGCTGATTAGATTGTTCCGACAATCTTCTATCCAATGAAATGTTTCGAGATGTGCTTGGGCCATTCCCAAGCACATTTCCGTTGTTTGAATTGCGACTGCCAGAAGGACGATTATTTGAGTCTGGTGCTTGATCGTGACCTTGCCGGTTCGCTAAGGCTTCAATCATACGATCCAGCTGCGAATGATTCGCTCTACCTGTTGGAGGACTATTTTGATTACCCCCTCCAACACCTCCTTGTCTGTTGGCCAAAGCTGCTATTAACCGATCTATATTTGAATAATTGTTGTCCTCTACAACCACACCTTCAACCGCCATTGTGAGATTCGGTATTAATTGTTCTGTAGAACAATTTTCTCTTCCTGGAACATAACGTTGAAATCTGGGTGGGTGAGGATTACCATCGGAATCGACCAAAAACGGCGGTGGCATCAAATGTGGCATAACTTGTGTTTGTTCATCAATAACATGATGAGATGCGTCTCTCAACAATGGCCTGTAATCTGTGTGGAAGAATAATTCATTCGGAAGCTAAAAGGAAATAACAAACAATTTAAATCGCATTTTCAATTTATGTACGTACAGTATTGTTCGAAACCTAAGCAACTTTTTTTGGCATTGTATACAAAGTGCTATATTTTCTATTTTAATTGATTTATTCAAAATTATATAATTGATAATAATAATATTATGTGTCTACATTATAATAACAACAACAAAAGTTTAATTCCATTTCGCTGTGAGTTATAAGAAAATAATAACTGAATTAACTCCATAAATAGCTGTTCGAAACTGAAGCAACTTTTTGATCTTCATATGAAAATCTTTGATCCTTTTGAGTTCCAAACACATTTATGGAATAGATTAGTTACTAGTGTAGTTCGTAATGAATCCCAATCGGATTTTAAGCCACTATCCAGCTGTAATGTTTTCTAAAACTGCGAGTTTCGACCCAGCGCTTCAGAATGCCGAACAGCATCTCTAAGGGGCTTGAGTCAGGAGATTTTGATGGACAATCAAAGAATTTGGGTCCCATTATACGATAACTACTCTTAGATCAACTTTGCTAAAGGATTTGGTTCGTTATCATGCTGAAAATCGCAACAAAGTAATTTGTTCTGTTCAATGTACTTAATCCTTTGGTTTATTTTGTTGGCCAAAAATGTCCCAGAAAGTAAAACAATCCAATTTTATTTGTATTTCAACATCAGGACTTAAAAATCTTGCCCATAACCTTAATTGTGTGACCTCCATGCTTTTTTAAGTCTTTAATGTACGATGATGTAACCGCATATGAATCCCGCAGTGACATGGCACAGAGTTTACTTAAAGAAATTCGATTTTTTCAAAAATTTTGTACAATTTTGGGTAGAATATTGAAATAGATTACGCAAGACTAATAAAAACAGTTTTATTTACAAACGGGTCCACATTTTCCGTCTTAAATTCAAACAGAGTATGCGAGGCTCAAAGGCTGAAGGAAATATTACAATATACCCTTTTAGTAAAGGCCCAATAATGAATAGAGAGCAAAATTTTAGGGTGTGGCTATGTTTTTTAAAGAGAAGAGTTAGTCCTGATGTTGAAACACAAACAAAGTTGGATTGTTTTTCCTTTTGGGACGTTTTTCGCCAACAAAATGAATCATATGATTGAGTACATCGAACAGATCAACTTACTTTATTGCGATTTTCAGCATGATAATGAACCAAAACCTTTGGCAAAGTTGATCTAAGAGTTGTTATCGGGTAATAGGACCCAAACTCTTTGATTGCTCATCAAAATTTCCTGACTCAAATCCCTTAGAGATGCTGTTCGGCGTTTTGAAGTGCTGTTTCGGAACTCGCCGTTTTAGAAAACATTGCAGGGGCGAATAGCTTAAAATCCGATTGGGTTTCATTACGAACTACACTAGTAACTAATCTATTCCATAAAGGTGTTTGGAACTCAAAGGGACCAAAGATTTGCATAAGAAGATCAAAAAGTTGCTTAAGTTTCGAACAGCTATTTATGGAGTTAATTCAGTTATTATTTTCTTGTAACTCACATCGAAATGGAATTAAAATTTTGTTGTTGTTATTATAATGTAGACACATAATATTATTATTATCAATTATATAATTTTGAATAAATCAATTAAAATAGAAAATATAGCACTTTGTATACAATGCCAAAAAAAGTTGCTTAGGTTTCGAACAATACTGTATATACATATGTTTTTATATATACACAGGTGTGGCCCCAAAATTTGAGTTGCTGGTGTTCCCGTCGAAAATGAAAATTAAGTTAATTTTTAGATACTATTTCTCAAAATGTTTGTCCTAATGTCAATATTTGTTGAGCTGGATCAAAGGATAATTGTTTAAGAATTTTGTAATTTTTTCATATTTTCAATTTACTATCATAGGAAAGGTCTTATTATACCACAATTTCATATCTATCCTTTGGAAGATATATGAAAAAAAAATCATGAGAACCTTATTATCCATTGATTCAACTCACCAAATATTGATGACAGGACATACATTTTGAGACGCGGCATTTTAGAATCAGTTAAAATTTTATTTTAGTTAGGAATATTGACACCTTATTTTTTTATATACAAACGGGGCCTCCATACAAAAGTAACTAACAAAATTAATTTATATTTAGTAACAATGTAGGACCAATAGTTATTAGCATTTTTTAAGAAACTCTAAATTGATTTTATTTTTGTATCGCTTAGTCGCGGCTTGGAAAGAAATGTATGGTTTATAATGTTATCTAATAATTTTTTATAAATATAAATTATTTTTGTTAATTATTCTTTAAAAGTTGTTTTTTTAAATACAAAAAACTTATAGGCTTTGTACTATTTCAATGGATAAATAAAATAAAACCGAATAAAATTAAAAACTCTTAAATTTTTTGAACATGAGTATATATGTATTTGAAGTGAAAAGAGAAATTTATGTATTCACTTTTCATTAATTTTTCGTTTAATTTATTCTTGTGATTTCGAAACCAACAAATTTGAAAGTTACAATATTCAGAAACACACATATCTTTAAGCTTATTCAGCTTTTGAGATGAGGTTTTTAAGAATAAATTCGTAAATAAATAAGTAATTTTTAAACGTTTTTTTATCTAGAATATGGTTGTTGTTTTTAATTGTTTGTGTATATTCCATATACTTACAATTTTATATCTATCAGTTGTTACACCAAGGCCAAAGATCAATATATGACCATGAGAATCTGTGGCAGCAATCATAGTGCCGTCCGGTGACCACTTTGCATCAAATACTCCACCGTGTCCTTGTCCATCGATATTGTTTACGAAATGAGCAACTGATTCCCCCTTTTCAATATCCCATAGAAAAACTTGGCCATCGTGCCCCGCTGACAGCAAAATGTGCTCGTTTTTAGGATTTGATTCCAAAACGAAAAGCTCATCTTTATGACCACGTAGAACACAATGTAATTTTGCGCTTTTAGCATTCCAGATTTTAATCTGCAAACAATTAAATAATTTAAGTTTAAGTATTATTTATTTAAACATAAATAAAATACCGTAAAATCGTTAGCTGCAGTAATAACGTATTTATCCGAACAATCCCAGGCAACCATCGTAACTTTCAATTTTTTGCCTTCCTCTGGTTCTGGACAACTAAACGAATTAATTTTTAATAAAATATATTAAATCATTGGTCTAAAATATTTCAAAAAATTACCTTGGCAGTCTTTCGGTCATGCATAATTTTACGCTTTTCCATTGCTGCGATTCAAATGTCCAGATATGAGCAGTTCCGTCTTTGCTGCCAGATATGAATCGCAAACCTCTATGAGACCACTGCACAGAGTCTACGGCGTCTGTGTATGCTTCGGTCTCCAAAATACGCTTAGGACCATCTTCAGACATTAAATAAACACGAATGTGATGATCAGCTGAACCTGCTGCCAAAAATATCCCACCTGGTGAAAACGATGTACACATCATTTGAGCCTGACCCGGCCTTAGTTTCTCATGATATTGTATTGGCTTTGGTGCAAATGTAATCTTTTGCCCTCTTGGCGTTGAATATTGCCAAAATGCAATGGATCCATCGTTGCTAGTTGTAACTAAATATTTTAAATCATTTCTTGGCGAAGGGCAAAAATTTACTGAGGTTATCATGCCAGTATGAGCTGCTAAGACAGCTATTGGAGATGTGGTTTGTAAGTCCCATACGCGCAAAATTCTATCTACAGACCCTGCTGCCAACATAGTATTATCCAAATTAATAGCAATATCAGTTATTTCAGCAGACGCACCACGAAGAGTAGCCAGTAAGCGACCGTCCATAGCGGACCATATTTTTATGAGAAGATCATCAGCTCCTGTTATAATATAATGCCCTGTACGATCGAACAGAACGCAATAAACTGATGATAAATGACCCACAGTGCGACGCAGTAATTTCGTCTTCCCATAGAGACTTGTAGGCACTAAGAGTTTTCGACGAACAGGTCCTCCATACTCGCGTCCAATTAAAACTTTCTCTATTTATTAAAATTGTTTGAAACCTTTGTAACCACAATACAGAAAATTTAAATAAATATACAAACTATTGGACTTACGAAAGTTATGTACGGGCTTTGTGACTGCAGAATCCGGCAGTGATACTCCATGTAAACGAGTACAATAATCCAGTAATGATCTGGATTTGTATATACTGTCTTTGGTCCGCAAAAGGCTCTGACGTCCAGAACCCAACAATGATATAAGTCCAGGAACACTTGGACTCAGTTCATTGTCTAAGATTGGTCCAATTCGACAACATATTTCCAATAAATGATTTGACCCAATGTGGGCATATTTTCTTTCCTAAAATTAAATTAAATATTAGTAGGGAACTATATTTATTTATTTATACAGATTATACTTTACAAAGTTAATTCATAAAATATAAGAAATTAAGGCGCGGGTAACTAGACCATATGCGCACGTATTGTCAAAAAAATTAAATAGAACTTAAAAATTATTGAATTATTTATATACAAAGAAGTGAAAAATAATTTTCAAAACAAAAAAAAAAATAGATAATTAAAATTAAAAATTCATTACATTTTCGGTGATATAAAGAACAAAGTTTTCGTAAAAATAAATAAATATAATAAAAAATACTGATTTCTGTATTAGATTTCATGAATATTGTGCTTCTCCAGACTTTCGATAATAATTGGTAAGTTCGCATTTCGGCAGTCAAGTATTTTCTCCAGAGGTTGATCTATTTTCGAGAGCTGGCATTCTGTCAGAATATGTGGTATGGTAAGGTAAACATTGCAGTGAGAACAAATTGGGGGATCAGTCCTTTCATAATAGTGTCTCGAATTAAATACTGCCTTTCCAACTCTTAGACGAGCGAGCATTATACATTGTGACCTTGAAAGAATTTCGCTGTATTTAGGCCTTTTCGGTACGTGGTTTTGAAGGTCATAAAGGGCATTAAATGGTTTTGTTAAAGCTTTAGGGAGGCATGGAACTTCCGTGACATTATGCAATTCTAAGGCTTCCTTAGCACCTTTGTCAGCATGTTCATTTCCAGGGATTCCAATATGTGATGGAATCCACAATATGGTAATATCATTTGCCATATTCTCCATGTGTAAAATATCATTATATGCTCCATTATGGTTCTTGATTAAGGCTTTGGTAGCACTTAAACTATCAGTGCATATCAGTGATCTGCCGGCATTTTCACTGCAATATTTTATTGCAGACTTAATTGCAGCTATCTCCGCTATAAAAATGCCACTATGATCTGGTAAACGATTTTTACATAAAGTTTCAAATTGGCTGTTCGTTAATTGTTTGACAATGGAGTACGAGGTCAAAGTGTCACGAAAGGACCCGTCTGTGTAGTAAATTTGATCTGGGGCAAAATATGAGATTTTCTCCAAAAACATGCTTTTGAAACACAATGGGTTTGTGGAATTCTTGTTGAAAAAACTTAAGCTGTCGTCCAGTTTAACAAGTGTTCCAGTATTTGTGGGCTTGCCCGGCTTATCCGGAATTGATATGTTCCACCTTTTTAAGGTAGTCACAATTTTCCCGATGGCAGATGATGAGCAATTTTCCTGGGACAATAAACAATGCCAAAATGTCTCATGAAGGCTTTCATCTGGTATAGTTATAGATCTCGAAGCAAGACTAATTGCAGTTTTCTCCAGTAGGCTTGTAAAGTCAGTAAAATTTGCCTCAACCCTTAATTTTTCGATAGGTGTTGTCCGCAGCAATCCCGATGCGGTTCTAAAACACATGTTAATGGATGTATTCATCTTGTTTACATTTCCCTTTGAGGTCCAGCCATAAATTGTGATCCCATGTAGTATCGTACCCATCGTAAGCGATTTGCAAATACTAAGTGCTGTTTCAATATGTGGACCTTTCCCTCGAGAACAAATAAGTTTCAGAAGATTGTTAATTTTAGCCAGTTTATATGACAAGTTTTTTATTTGTGTATTCCAAAGAAGGTTTTTGGTAAATATTATACCCAGAATTCTCATCTGGTCCAGGATGCGCAGGTTCTCGTTGCCTAGACAGATTGTGTTATTGTTACAGTCCCGCTTTCGGCAAACATGAAGTATTTCAGCTTTCTTCGTGGGGATAATGGCACCATTTTCCTTGGACCAGTTTTGTATGACACGGTCCATGTTATTGAGACTAATTTGGACTGATTTCGGGTTTCCTGAAGCCACTGCGAATATGTTGTCGGCATAGATTCCAACGTAATCTATGCCCGGTAAATCTTGTATAGCATTTGCCAAGGAATTTGCATATATGTTGTATAAAACAACTGATAGTGGTGATCCCTGCGGGACTCCATTGTCAAGGTTATAAGTAGGTGAGAAGTATCCATCAACCTTCACAGTTATCCTACGGTTTTCCAGAAAAGACTTCACGAGTTGCAAAATTTGAACTGGGACACCCCATCTATGTAGTTCCATTATAACAGATGAGGATATTACTCGATCGAATGCTTTCTCGAGATCCTCTGAAAGAACAAGGCTATGTTTTCCGTTGCCTAAATTATGCCGTAGTATTTCCTCCAACTGGTGACATATGCTATGAACTCCATGCCTGGGAATAAAGGCATGTTGTAATTTTGACATCTGTCCCTTCGTGAATTTCCAAAAGCGTTTTGCAACAATTTTCTCAAACAATTTAGAAAGCACGGGCAATAATGAAATAGGACGATATCCCTCAATTTGGCTTTGGTTTTTCCCAGGTTTGGGGATAGGTGTTAGTACAGCCAATTTCCAATCGTGGGGATAAACGCCAGTGGTCATTATTCGGTTGTACAACTGGCAAAGTCGTTCCTTCAAAATATGCGGCGAATGTTTGATCATTGCATAGGTGATTTTATCCCGTGCTGGTGTTGAACCCTTCAATGTCATCAATACCTCATTTAGCTCGTAGATTGTAACCGGTTGATTCAATTCGTTAAAATGACTGGCCATTTGTGTGAGATTCTCAATTTTCAAATTTTCCTTCCCTGCAATAATTTCTGGATCGAAAGCATCATCTGAGCCCAAATTGCACCAAAAATTTGCAAAATTGTCAGCAATACCCAGTGGATGTGAAAAAGAATTATCATCCACAAAAATTGTAGGAAAATTGTGCATTTTGCGACTTCTCAAATTTCCGACCTTGTTCCAAAGAACCCTTATATCCATTGATGGGTTCAAAGAATTGAGGAAGTTAGACCATGTAGTTCTCTTTGCCGTTCTGCATTCTCTTTTTACTTTAGCACAAAGTCTTTTAAAATCAATTAAATTTGTCCTGTTTCGACATCTTTTGTAAGTTTTCCAAGCAACCTGTCTCAGACTTATACATTTTGAGATCTCCGAGTTGAACCAAACAGGACTGTTTTTCTCCTTCGGTCTGTGACTTAGTGGAATAGATTCATTAGCAGCTTTGCGCAAGATTCGTTTTATTTGAGCAGCTTCCCTGTTAATATTTGATGATTTACTGAACTGTGTGATTATTCCCGCAGCCTTTTCCTCAAAAAATTGCCAGTCTGCATTTCCCTCCAGAAAACGGGGTGAAAACTTTCTTCTCACTGCTTCAATATTATTCGTAATTTTAATAGGAAAATGATCTCCCACTTCAGGCAAAGGCAAACAAGCCCAAGTTAAGGTAGGTGCAATATCGGAACTACACATTGAGACGTCTACAGCTGTCAGGGTATTGTGTGTACTGAGCAAAGTCGGAGAACCATCATTCATTACAACCAAGTTGTGATCATCTGCGAAGTCCTCAAAGATTTTACCATTTGGTGAATTTGACGAAGATCCCCATAACACATTTTGTGAGTTAAAATCTCCCAATATAATGTTATGTACATTACCGGCAACTGAAATATTATTTACCAATGTGGGAGATAGGTTTACATCACCTTCCTTGTATATATTAGTAATATGAATCTCAGTTCTACAACAGATCACTATGGTTTGGTATAATAAGTCGCGATCAGAGATAATATGTTTCTTCACATTCAAGTTATCCTTAACCATTAAAGCTATGCCTGATTTGGCATAATCAAAGTCATGATTGTGATGAAAAATCTGAAAACCAGGCAGATGTAGTAACTGTAAATTCTTCTGAACTATGTGTGTTTCCTGCAGCGCTATTATGTTGGGTTTATGTTTAGCTACCAAATGTTCCAAAGCATATTTATTGTTTACAAAACCTTGTATGTTCCACTGGAGAAGCGTAATATTCTGGTGAACAGTCATAAAAAAATAATTTATTCTTCCATTTTGCCCTTTGGGGCCAAATGTTTTGTATTCTTCAATGTATTCGGTGTAATTATAACGTTCAATTGTGGGAAATTATTATAAAGTTGTGAAATTGGTGTATTTTCCCCTGTGCATTCCATTTCTCCTCTTGGGGGGGTTTTAAAACCTAGACCATCGCTTATATCCTGGATGATCATTTCCTCAGTTAAGTTTTCATCGATGTTCTGATTTAAATCCTCGTCAAATGAGTCATCCAATGAATAGGGCTTACCATCTCTGGTAAAGGGGTTTTCCTTAAAACAGTCATCTGAGGTAGAATTATCTGTTGTTATTGTCTTTGATTTTGTGTTGAGTGACATAATTTGGGAGTATGAATTTTGTAAAGGCGTGAGAGAATTTTGATTTGTCAGCTGAGTTTCTGCTGTTCTATCAGTGTTGTTGTTGTTTGTAGTGGTTGAATGTTGAGCTTTTGTTGTGTTAAGATTTTCATTGAGATTTGTGGTTGAATGATGAGCTTTTGTTGAATTAAAATTTTCGTTGAGATTTGTGGTTGAGTTGAGTGAGATCATTTGAGAGTATGAGTCTGGTATTTGAGTTTCTGCGTTAGTATTAGTGGTTTCGTTCGAATTTGTTGAATGTTGAGCTTTTGTTGATAAGTTTAAATTCTCATTGAGATTTGTGGCAGAGTTGTTTGTCTTCGGGTGAGAATTTTGTGTTTTTTCTTTAACGGCTAATGTTGAGTTGTTTTTGTCTTTTGCATGATCAATTGTGTCCGGCTTGTTCATTTCCGAAGTTTTGTTGTTTATTGTTGTCAAGGCAGAACTTGTTATTTGTGCGTATGTAGGATTTTTCTTGGCGTTTTTGTAGACAGGTGGTTGAAGCATATTTATGGACGGGTTTTCATTAAAAATTTTCCATGCTTCCCGAGTTGTACATCTTCTTGAAATTCTCAAGTAATTAACCGATTTATGCTTCCAGTACGTAGGACATTTAGGGTCGTAGGATGTGTGACTTTCTACTTGGCAATTTATACAGTATTTACGGGTACATTCCTCATGTACTTGAGTAAAACCACATTCTTTACACTGTTCCACATTTTTGCACCATTTTTTCGTATGACCCAATCTTTGGCAGTTTATGCATCTCATGGGATTTGGTATGTACTCGTCTACAGGCACTCTCTCCCAGCCGAGCTTCAAAACGTCAGGGCGGTAAATCATGTCAAATGTAATTATCGCTGCACCTGTGGCTACTATCTTATTATTCTCCTTCTTCGTTATCTTACGTACATCAATGACCTTCTGTTCCTTAAGAGATGTCAGTAAATCTTCTTGAGAAATGTCGATTAATTTTCTGGAAAAGATGCGTCCTTGTACCGTATTCAGCGTCTTATGAAGAGAAAAGCGTACGGGTATGCAATCAATGTAATTTGCCTTAAGAAATTTCTCAGCAGTTTTGTTATCAGGTACTTTTAATAGCAAGTCTCCGCTTTTCATTTCCTTAACTTCCAGTCTGTCACGTGAGATAAAATCAAGACCCCTTTCCACTTGAAAAACATTATGCGATGCAAGTGGGAGAACTTCCAAATCTTCTCTCTGTGGTATAGTAGAAGCCACTAAATAGCGTGGGAGATTTTGTTGATTGGACGATGTTTCCGGTAGTGGTATGAAGTCTTCCGCTCGTGGCCTTTTAATTTTGTTGGATCTGTTCCTACCGGAGGGAAAATCTAGTTCCCGAAACCGGTTGTAGTCCGGGGGATGAACCCCGTTCATCCCGCAATATTAAGTAAATTCAAGTTAAAAAAAAAACACAAAGTTCGTCAAAAAAGTATTAAAAAAAATAAGAAATTAATGCAGAAATAAAATCCGAAAAAAATACTCAATGAGAGAAAGAGATTTCTCTAGCACTATACGACTACACTTTATTCAACCGGTCACTGAGTGAAACACATGCGTACTCGGCAAATGCCTGACACAGACTGTAGGGAACTATATATTTAACAAAAAAATAAATTTGTGTCATTTTTACGAATATTCTTGTATTCTTATTTATAAGAAAAAAACCTTAGTTTTTTTAATTTTTACAATAAAAAACCATGAAACATTACACAGGTCAACAAAATGTTAAAAAAGTTGAAACCCAGAGGCCAAAGTAAACTTTTCTAAAGGATTAAGTTGCGCTGAAATTTGATACTATAAGCTTGTCATTACGTTTGTAATTTCTATAATTTAATTTTCGACACATTAAATGTTTGTATGAATGCAACTTAAAAATTGTAGGTATACTTTAAATCAGGATGTAATACCATAGAACACTAAAAATCAAATGCATTATTGTCTTTAAAAGATATAACCAGCTTAAATGACGCAATATTTGCCTTTGTTTGCATGTTAGTTGCAAAATCTTCTGATGCGCATTTTTAATTTAATTTCAAAAAAACCTAGTTATTGGCCATAATCCATTACAAATTTCTACTTAAACAAGAAAGTATAGTCGGGCGTGGCCGACCATATGATACAACAGTTATGGATATTAAAAGTGATTTATTTTTCATAATAAAGCATTTATCTTGAATATTACCTTGATTCCGATTTATTTAAGCAATTTATTGCCGAAAAACTAATTTTCTAAAAGAGGCTTTATATGGGGGATAGGAGCAAATGTTGACCGATCCCGATAAAATGGGCTGGATAGATTTGTATTTATATAATTATATTTGTGATATATTTGATTGCAATAACAGTGTTAATAAATGAATTGCGGATATTCAAGTCACTTTCTGAAGGGGGGCTTTGTATGGGGGCTAGGTCATCAAGGCTTGTGCGAACTTTCATGGAGATACATTTATATACATATATACATAATTATGAGCTCAAAAGCTCTTTTCGGGGGTTCAGTTGTGTGGGGGCTAGGTGAAATAATGGGCCGATTTTAACCATTTTCAATAGGAAACATGTATTCCAAATTTCATCAAATTACCTTCAAAATTGCGAACTGTACTTTGATAACAACGTTTACATGGACACAGAGATGTCGGACAGACATCGTTAATTCGACGAAGTGATTCTGAGTCGATCGGTATACTTTAAGGTGGGTATAGTACTACAAACATCAGCACAAACGCATAATACCCTTCCCACTATAGTAGGTAGGGTGTAGGTATATAATAGGCATACATACATATTTAAAGTCAATTTTGCATGTCGTGTTCCTAATATGCAAATTTCTCATATAATTGCAAAATAAGTACCTCTCTTCAACTGAAATCATTCTAGTGTTTTGCCAACCAGCTTACAGACGGAGGGTATCTACGATTCGTCACTGCCGAAAATAACACTCAACCTTGTTTTTAGGTTGGCAATGCGCTCAATAGCAAGAAATAGAAAACAAAAAGAAAAAGGATGGAAAAAGCCATACAGGCTTGTATAACGAAAAATATTGTACATACATATACATAATACCTATTTTGTAAAATACAAAAATTATTATATTGTACTTTGTGTACAATAATAGAAAATATATATGTATGTAAATATTATTTTAGACATAATTATTAAATATAAGTTAGCTAAATAGAAATCTTATTTAAGAAAAAAAGTAATTTGTATTCTCCGCATCTGTAAAAAATAGTTTGTATTTATGTGTTGCACTTTTGAACAAATATGTATCATATTATTATCAACCAGAAAACAAAAATGCATAATTTAGTTTTTTTATGTATCATGCTGAATACAACATGGCGTCTACACGCATTTTATTAAACGAACAAGATTACTAAATTCTATCTACTATTTGCACATATGTACATACATATGTCATATACATTGTATGTATGAATATGCCTATGTACATACATACAATTCATAGATGTATGAAAGTTCATACATTTGTATTTCAGGTATGAATATTTACTAACAAATAACAACAAATGCATTTTTATCCGAATAAATAAAATGTATCATTTAAAACAGACAAAATATTTACTTTGATAAGATTTTATATACTAGGGAGTACAGTGGGCAATGTTTATTATAATAATGTGCACATGACTTACCAATTCAGCCAAGGATTGATCATGTTCATTTCCCAACCAGTCTGTACGTTTAGGCAAAACCTGCAAATAGAAAAAATAATTGTATTTATATACATAATTTGTACGTCTCAATAGGTAGGATACAAAACATTAAATTTACAAAATTGTTTAATAAAATAGGTATAGGTCTCAGGGTTTTTTAGACTAGGCTGATTTATATTGTTCTAATGAATAATTGAAATACACGTACGTACTAAATATACAAAATGTAGTACACCACAATATAATTAAAAATAAATAGAACACGTGCATCTTTATATACAACGATATTCATATGTACATACATATACATAAGTTACAGCTGACGGATGCAGTGTCACAAAATTTGCGAATCTACAATTAGTATCTTTACACCCCTTTATGAACTAATTTAAATGCCGATTTTCCGACTGACGTCCGTACACACGTCCACTACTTCAGATTAGCTTTTCGATTTTTTCAGTTCAGTTTTAGTACGATTCTATACACCGCTATAAGCGCACGTTATGTACGGATACAATTTAAACTGTTTTGGTTTTTTTTTTACAAAAACAACAATGAAAACAAAAATACTACGAGAAATATTTTTTAAGAAACCGCCAAACAACATTGATTTTAACTATAAAAATGATAAGTATTTTTGCAGCAGAATTTGTAACTGTATCATGAAGGGTATTAACTTACCTTTTTACTTTCAAGTTCCTTTATTAATACCTATAAGTAAACAAATTGTTTGTGAATTATTTGCCATTTATAATAAAAACAAATTAAAATACATTCTTGGAGGTTGGCTTACTTACCTTTGCAGTTTCTTTGAGAGGACCCGCAGACAAGAACTTGGAAATTAAAAAATATAGCTCTGAAAAACAATTTACATTTTAATATGCGTATTAATGTATTATAATTAAATTTTAAAGTAAATCAAAAGTATTCTGTTTTTAAAACAAATGGTACTCTTTAATTTTGTTAATTTTTAGCCACTGTCTGTGGGCTAGAAAAACAAGACGGCTGCATTTTGCAAGGCTATCGTAAATATCGTAGTCGCCATTATCTAAATTTTCACATACCTGGGGTCACTATTTTCTCAACAATTTCTTTATTACTATCCATATTTCATGTTTATAAACAATTTTATTATTTCTTACAATTTTTAAGCAATATTATACACTTTTTTCTGTGCTTTTGTATCGGGAGTATGAAAAATTTTTGCTGAAAATTATTTTTCTTTCTTTTCCTTGATTCTTCTATTTCTCTTTGTCAAACTTTCGTTATTGCCAACCACGAGTAAAGCTGTTGCCAACTATTTTCCAAGTTGAAGAGTTGCATTCATATTGAAAACCGAAAGTATGTTAGCACTGTTTTAAAATTTGTCTCCACAGTTTATCACTTAATTTATTTTGACTCCTCAGAGGCCTGCGGTGATTCGGCTTAAAGACGACGACAACAATTTCTCGGCTTAAGAGGACTTACAAATTTTTATAACTTGCTTAAAGCGATTTTGCAAAACATTAAATTGGCTGTCAAGAGAAAAACAAAGAAAAATTAAAATGTCGACAAAATTTTAATAAATTGGAAAACATGAACGAAAAGTTAATTTAAAAGAGAAGGTAATGTAATATTGAAATATCTATTTTTTATTCTAAATGAAATTCTAGTAAGTTTTCCATATTTCCTTCCAATTGTTCATATCAAACACAATTTGGAGAAATATTAGAAAAAAACCTTCCTTAATGTCAAAAATACCAAGTGTAAATGGGGTATAACTATGTCCGTCACTAGAAAAAGAAAACATTTTAATTATTTTTTTAATATCGACTTTTCCGACTTATCGATTTCTATTTATAAGACTACCCTTCGTGAGTCTTACTGAAGAACATTTAGAGAATAACGGGCGGACTTTCAATGGAGGGCTTGGCACTTCCCATATGAATTAAATACAAAATTTTGTATTCTGGGAAACTATTAGATTATTAAAATTTTTCATAGATTGAATTTAAATCTTAATTAACGTTCGGAATAATTGGCGATATTGAAATAATTTGCGTGGAATCTCCCATATGTAACAAATTGTATATCTGGTAAACCATTGTAGTTAGAATCATCAAATTCGTTAAGTCGGTTTCTTATTTATATTGCTTTTAGGGTAGCACAGCACTCTGGGTATAGCTAGTAAATAAACAAATAAAATATCTTTGTTTTTACGTTATTGATCATTTTCTTAATGCAACATTTTTTAGAAACTGACTTTCTGCAAGATGTTTTATATGGAGGATAGGGTTAAATATCGGCAGATCCTCGTAAAACTTGGAGAAAGGATTTGTTTTTAATTTTTAAGAATTTTTTATTCATTCCTGCATAATTTCTCACACAACTTTTGAGCTTGCTCTGTTTTGTTGTTATAAACAATATATTTGCTTCCAAAATCCCACTTTCTGATCTCTCGGATTCCGTTTTTATTTAAAATCGTTGAAAATTTAAAAACTAAACATAATTGAAAACTTAGCCGGCTTACAGTCGATTTTAAGCCGCCGCCGACATATTTCGCCGCCGCCGTTAATATTTGTCGACGCAGGTCTCTGTCATCCATCACACGACTAAAGTTTATATTTTTGCAGGAAAATATGTAAAATAGACTGAAATTTAAAAAAATTGAATTTTGTTTTGTTTAATCATGTCGTGGGTATCAGATTATAAATATTCCTGGGTGGAAACATTAGCAATGAATGTCATCAAGGCTGGAGGTCATTTACCTTACCATATTGCCTTTGTAATGGATGGCAACCGCCGTTATGCCAATTCTCAACATATTCGGAAAATAGATGGTCATTCAAAGGGCTTTGATAAACTGGCAGACTGCTTAAGATGGTGTTTGGATATGGGAATTCGAGAAGTTACAACTTTCGCATTTAGCATTGAGAATTATAAAAGATCTGAAGAAGAAGTCAACGGTTTGTTAGATTTGGCCCGAGAGAAATTTTCAAAACTTTTAGAAGAGTCTTCTAAATTACAAGAGCATGGAGTCCGGATTAGAGTTGTTGGTAACTTAACCCTTTTACCGGTAGACCTACAGAAACTAATAGCCAAAGCAATGCTTTTAACTGAGAACAATAACAAACTTTTCCTAAATGTGGCATTTTCATATACCTCACGAGACGAGATAACGCAAGCAGTAGAATCTGTTTTAATGCATGGCGATAACTTAGAAGTTAATAATATAAGTGAACGGCTTTTAGACGAATGTCTTTATACACGTCATTCTCCATCACCAGATTTACTTTTTCGAACCTCAGGTGAGACTCGAATTAGCGATTTTTTGATGTGGCAGGTAAATTTCAAAAAAATATAGTACCTATTGTATTTTTATTAATAATGTTACAATTTTAGCTTAATTCAACAGTTTTATATTTTACAAAAATACTTTGGCCCCAAATTACAATCTGGAATTTTCTAACTGGTGTATTTTCCTATCAACGTGCTGCATTGCGATTAGAGCATTACAAAAGACATGAACGTTTAGAACGTGCTCAAGTTGCAAAGAATTCAAGTTTTTACAGTGACAGTGTTCAAGACTTTCTTCAGCGTTTGGACATGTTTAGGAAAAATATTCTTTTGCAATTGTGGTCTTCAAGTCAATAGCTTTATTAAAACAAATTAAGAAATAAAGTGTTCATTGTTATGTATATCCGTACATATTGTTTGGATTACGAGTTTAAAATAAATGATTTCACTGGTTTGCTCCTGAAGGGTCATAACTACTGTTCAGCGTCAATTACAGCGGATGGTTTTGTTTAGTTTTATGTGATGTTTTTTAAAAAAGAAAACGTTTAAGGTAAATAAAATTTCCTGAGTATTAAAAACTATGAAATAAATGAATACAACAATACAATTTTAATAAAAACATTAATATATGTACATTAGGGGCGCCCAAAAAATATGAATTTTGTTTGGATGGGTAACATTTTGTTTGGAAATTTGTGTCTAAAACTAACTGGTGTAAAATTTTAGCCAAATCGGATAACTGGAACTCGTGGCGGAAATCGATTGAATGTTTTAAAATTGTCTTATTTTAAAGTAGAAATTGATAACCGATTATGGCCAATAGGCTATGTTTACTTTGGAAATTAAAAAATTTAATGTTTATACCTTACACCACCATAGTGGGTAGTGTATTTTACGTTTAGCCCTATTCACCTAGCCCCCATACATCGGAATATTCCTCATATGACTTTGTTAAATATGTATTTGTCTTTACCAAATTTGACTCGTCTAAGATTTATAAGAGTCAAAATCATACTACTAATTTTCGTAATGGTGGGTCTATAATCGACCATAGTCCCCATCCAAAATCACCATCCGGAAAAGATTTTAATGTCCATAATTGACTTATATATGTATATAAATATACCTTCGAAAATCGGCATCAATCCGTTTTATATCAACATAAATTTATTTATAGTTTTCTTACTTGTTTGGATTGCAAAAATACATTTTTCTATTGTGTTTTTGCCAACTGATTTGTAAAATCTTCAAAATTTATAATGGAGTTTAAGTCATGCCCTTAAAAAACAGTTGTTGTCCCGCTAAGTGCTCCAATGTACGATAGTCCGCCCCAATAGAATTGTTTCTTGGGCTGTAAAACTATGTCATGCAAAAAAGAAAAATGGCTAATATGATTAAATTAACAGGTGTCGCGGATCTGAAATTTTAAAGTGCAAATTTGAAAATGAAATTTTTAGTATATAATGTAACCATGTTCTCAGCTATGACGTTATGAAGGCGTTTTTCTTTAGGTTTTTTGCATATGATATTTTTGTTAATAGGAAAGCAATAAGAAAACTTAAAAAAATACTAAAATTTAATTGTTTATGATCAAAAACTATTTAATTTATATACAGTCGTTTTATTAAATTAGTTTTAATAATTATCTGAATTATACACTAGAAATGTATAAAAAGATGAAACAGCGATTTCCTATTAACAAAAATATCATATGCAAAAAACCTAAAAAAAAAACGCCTTCATAACGTATAATGTACATTATACAGAATTTTACATTGCAAAATTTTGATTTCAAGAAGCTATTACTCAGTGACCGGGAAAGATAATTGAACAAAACTTTATATATATTATTTATTAAGATGTATATAATCGATTAGCATTAAAGAAATTGTTTTTGCTTTCGTACGTAGGGAACTTTTTTGCAAAAAAAGATTGCTAAGTCATGGTCAAAAATTAAAATTTTTAAATTTAAATATTTTTGTTTATATGAGAATAAAATTATTATAGTCAGCATAATTTTACGTTAATAAGCCATATACAATAAAAAATAATTATTTCATCAAAATCGGCCCAAATTTGTTAATGTTACAGGGTCCACAACTATTTCACATTCAAATTTATGAATAAAGACACATGACTCTGTATTTGAAACTTACTTTGTTGTTTAGGTAAATTTTTTTCATAAGATACAAGAATATTTATAATTCTAATAATAAAACATAAAATTTATAATGAAACTTAATTTTTGTCCGATAACTGACATATAATTTTTATACATACCGGGGTCTGTTGGGTATTGATACACGAGGTAAAAATGGAAAATCGGTCATAAATCGGTTTAAAATGGAAAATGTATAGAAAACATTACTTTGAAAGCATAGTCCAAATTTCAAGTAGATACGATATATAGATCTCGAGATATATCACTTCAAAAAAGAAAAACATGCCCAGGAATGTGGGTATTGACATAACGGTTAAGAACTAAAAAATTGGAACCATGATTTAAACAAATTTTAAATTTTAACCTTTTAACCCTTTAAAGCACTTGGAAACAATTTAACCGCAAAGTTGATATAAATCGGAAAAACACTACCCATTTGAATGATGCTCTATATAATTTGAGAAATAACATATGAACATTTTTTTTGTGTTTTATATCTTTCTGAAATGCTTATGTTCAAAAACAGTTATTTTACTTATTTCTTGCAGTAAAGTAGAACAAAATAGTCGAATCAACGAAAGTTAATGTTCGATTTTTCAAAAGTAGAATCAAATCATAAAAAAAACGAATTGTGTGTAGTGTTTGACAAATTCATTTATCGAAGTGAAAGCTGCGTAGAATTTGTCAAGATTTCCGATAGAGTTTGACAATATGCCACACATTTTACATGTGTAATTGATATCCTGTTACATGTGTAATTGATATTTATTTCTATAACAGAGCAGTTCAAAAACACACAACCAAG